TAGCAAAGTTATGAAGGAGAGGGAAATTTGCATTTAAAGACTGACAAGATTGTGATTGGTTGATTTAAACTACAATTTTAAATGTGATTGGTTGATTTAAAATAAAATTCTGAATATGATTGGCTTATTGAACTGTCCGATAACAAATTTTCCGAAAACAACTTGCTAGGTGAATTAGTGGAAACTAGGAGTTTTTTAATCCAATCACAATCGAGGAAATTTTTTTTTTTTCCATCATAATGATGATGACAATGATAAGTGTAACAATTTAGAATTATCAATTGACAAAGGATGAAAAAACAAGGAAAAGAAGCAGAAAAATAGGGAAGAAGTGTAAAGGATGTAAACTCATTTTGAATCCAGACCTTCGCGATTTTGATCCAAAAGTCAATTCCTTGCTGTTACCGTCTTCAAGATCTTTACTTTTTCCCTTTTATTCCAGAGATATTTAACCTTTTTATAAGACAGCTACCCCTGATTTGCTTCTTCCAACGATGTTGTTTGCAACACACTGATCTTTGGCATAATCTTCCATCTTCACTCCATTTATGAAAACCTGGCTACGAATGGTTCGGTTGTCTTGAATGAAACGTGCTCTAGGGTTAGACTGTAAAGGATACGAAGCATTTTCCTTTATCAAGCGGATTGTTGGCCTCGGGAGACCCCTAGCTGTGCAGCTTAAGGTAACATTGGAACCGATCAAGACACTTTGGTTCTTTGGAGCCTCAACGATCTCAGGTTTTTGGGTATCTGCAAATTGACCTAAAGAGAATTTATTTGATCTTATTTGGTTTTATCTTGAATCACTATTTCAAATGATTTCCTTGTGCAGTGTCTTGGGTTAACCACTGCCCGCTTGGCAGGTGTAGCGGCCAAATTTGTTAACCGTCAGATTTTTAAGCACTAATGGACACCTAAATTTACGTTTTGTGAGTACTTATTTTTAAAGGCTGCTGGCATTTGTTGGAGAGATTGAATAATAAGACAAAAAATGAATAATATACAGTCTCGATTAACGAAATTTATGCATCATGGAAGGACTTCGTGGAAGATTAACCGCATGTTTATTCATTGATAGACGAATAAGTATATTGTTTAATTCAATGAGCTCTACGTGCACTAAAGAAATATGAAAAAGGATTATAATAGTCATGAATATACGATTTGCCTAACTAATAAATATAAGAAAAAATGTTTTTCATGGGTGTCAAATGTGAGAATACCCGCCAGCATTGAAACTTAAGGATTCCATTGTCCATTCATTGAGAGATCTGAATAATGACCAATATTGCCTTTCAAAACCGAGGTAGAGGTCGTTGAGAATTTTTCTCATTACAGGAGTGGTGTCGTCTGAAATGGAGACGGCAGTAAACATGTTTGTTTTTCCACGAAGTAAAAAGATGACCGGTCCAGTTTTTACTGGGGAAAGTCCAGTTTAAAATTCGGTCGTTCTTCGATGTAAGAAATAGTATCCCATAGGACGCTTGCTATGTTATACATTGGCATCGACGTGATACCTTGGGAAGTGCAACTTAAATGACGTATACGTTTTGCTATTGCAGGTGTTTTTAACCCTGCATTCTTCGCAGTCGATTTCTCTGCGCTGTTTTGTGGGAGTGTCTTCCTAGGTTAGTGAAATCAATATGTATACTCTAAAGTTTGCATGTTTAAGTTATCACAGCTTTCGAAGTTTATACATGGCAGACAGATGAAAACGTTTCGGTAGCTGCTTTCGAAGTTCCGAACGACAAGCAGTGTTTATACCTCCATTGCAAGCCGATTTCATACAATAGTTGTCGTCGCGTTCAAGTTACTGGCCGCTTCGAAATACAAATCTTTTCCAGGCTTTCTTACAGCAGAAAGTATTGCATCGATTTATGTTCACAAATAAAACTTATTGCCTATTGTGGGCTGTGTGGCTTTGGGATACATTTCAACCCAAACAATGTGACACAAAAAGCCCATCGTGGCGGCGATTAAATTGATCTTTCGGTGGTTACAACATCACTGAACTCCGACGGTGGGGTCGTATATTTTACGTAAGATTATCTTAAACAAATAGGACCAGCTGTATTTCTTCTAATATTAAATTAGATATGTATATATATATATATATATATATATATTATGAGAGGAAAAAACGACGCAACTACATATCCCGACAAGCCTGTTTCGTGAATCGCTTCACTCTTCAGGGGTTTAAACCCCTGAAGAGTGAAGCGATTCACGAAACAGGCTTGTCGGGATATGTAGTTGCGTCGTTTTTTCCTCTCATAATATTTATTCTGCTCTACTTCAACGTATTGAGCACTGTTCCACGCGAAAATCGACCTGCAGACTTCCTATATATATATATATATATATATATATATATATATATATATATTATGAGAGGAAAAAAGGACGCAACAACATTTCCCGAAAAGCCTGTTTCATGAATCGCTTCACTCTTCAGGGGTTTAATGAAAGAATATTCATGTGACTATCGCGTATATACTAGGAAAATTTACATAATACGCAGTAAACTTAAAAAACTTTAAAGTTCAGCTGTTGCGTAGCAACGCTTTGTTTCTGTGTCGGCATGAAGATACGAGTTTGTTACGCTTATTTAGTGATGAGAGGTCGGGTCGGTAAATTATCAGGAATTTTTCTTTTAGGCAGAGGTTGCATCTTCTACTGGAGCTGTTGTAGGGAGAGTTAGATGATAAGACGCACGTACACCGCGAGAGCAATCATCCACCGATCACCACAAAGAACATACCTGCCGGCATCAACAAACGACTCTCATCCCTTTCATCAGACAAAGCTTTATTCGACAAAGCCGCCCCTCCGTACCAAAAAGCACTTGACGAAGGCGGATATCAATACACCCTCCACTACGAACCCACCACGACTGCCAAACGCAAAAACAGGCAGCGAAGCAACATCCCCTGGTACAACCCTCCATTCAGCAAGAACGTCAGCACCAATATCGGACACAAATTCCTCAGCCTAATCGACAAACATTTCCCTAAGGATCACAGCCTCCGCAAGATATTTAACCGCAACACCATCAAAATCAGTTACAGCTGTAAGCTAAAGTTTTTAAGTTTACCGCGTATTATATAAATTTTCCTAGTATATACACGATAGTCACATGAATATTCTTTCATTAAACCCCTGAAGAGTAAAGCGATTCACGAAACAGGCTTGTCGGGAAATGTAGTTGCGTCCTTTTTTCCTCTCATAATATTTATTCTGCTCTGCTTCAACGTATTGAGCACTGTTCCACGCGAAAATCGACTTGCAGACTTCCTACTTTGCTCCAGACTTGTCGAGCACTCTACGATTGTCCGTCATGGAAAAATTCAGCGTCAACTACTCCACAAAGAATATACCGCTTCCATCACAAAATGACTATCGACAGCGACTTATCGAAAAAAACGAGCAATTTCTCCTCAGAATGCGTTGGAAAGCTTACTTCTTCCTTAACCCTGGCACAATCAGCAACACTAAGGATACATACGGCTTTAAATCAGCCAAGAACCCACCTCCGGTCGAAGAGTTAAGGAATTTGAAAACGACATGCTCAAGATGATACAATCGACTAAATTCAAACACATTAACAGCCCTCAAAACGCATCTCATTAAACCACCCAAGAGAAAAGTTGATGGTTTCAGTTTCACAAAATTAAACTTATGTCATTTATGGTGTATTTGATCGCACAGAGAGGAAAAAAATCAAAAAATCAACAACAAATTTGAAAAAAAAAATTAAAAAGCCACACAACGGCAATAGAACTAACATACGAAATCTGTTTTTTGTAAAAGGAAAGAAAACACTACTAGCTCTAAACATTTATTGTGCACTTTGTTTGTTGCAATAATGGTCCACCCTCCTGTAATGATTAATGATTGTCGAGATGCAGTTAATGTTGCATCGCAATGAGGCTGAGTAAGCCTTCCCAGAAGATATGTCACTTTTGACCGATTAGCCTTCCCACTGGTCTTTATTGTGAGCGCTTCGGCGCGAGCGTTTTTCGGTAAAAAGGAAAGTACGCGAGCAACGCGAGCCGGCGGGAGGTTTGCCAATGTTTTGCACTGATGATTAGTGCCAGACCCCCGGCAAATCTCTCCTAAGCTCATCTCAAATTTTTCCATGGGCGGAGAAATGAGGGGTTGATCACAAGCTATTGACCATTGAAATGTCTGAACTGAAGGGTTGGTTATCGCGTTCATCTTATCGTTTTGTGGCTCGTTTTATTATTTTTATTTTATTTATTTATTTATTTTACCGTTTTATTATATATATATATATATATATATATATATATATATAAACATACAGAGTCAAATCGTTCTCTTTACACACTTTTTAACTTCATTTACGTGTTGATCAGTATAATTATCATTACTTTGGTAAAGATATTTTTTAGGATGTTATTTTGCTGAAGATTATTTCTGTCTTGTTTCGCGTATCACACTCCGTAAGTGGGTGTGTTTTATTGCCCCTTGCTCTCTGTAACCCTGATTTGTAGATAAATTTTTATTCGAAAGTCATTATCTTTCAATGGTCCATCTTTTATTTAACAAATAAAGAAGCCTCGACTGTGTGCTATTCTGTTGTAAAGCATGCTGGAGGCGGCTAGAGCGCGGAAGAAGAGTAGTCTACCAGCGAGCGAAGAAAACACTCGTGCGGTAGCACTGATAAGGAGGACCTGTTTCAAGCTAGATCAGATACTTGCTTAGATTCTTTCTGAACAAATGCAATCCACGTTAATCTAACCTAGTTACGCGATAGCAATGATATTTCTTAGCCACTTTAGCATCGTAGATAATACAGAATGCACCGTTTTATTTATTGCTGCGATTTGTAGCACCTATTGTGAGAAAACTTTCCTCCACCAAGGAAAAAAATTGATTCTAAATTTTTGAGCCTATAAGCTTATTTGAGATCTTGTGGTTATTTTCCTATTGTTAATCAAATAAAATGAGTTGTTTGCTTCAGCATCAGGGAGTCATCAAGCTTCTCCATCGTTGACCTCTGTGATATTTGTATATGTCCTCTGAAATAAATCATTAGAATAAATTAGTCACAAAAAATATGAACAAGGAAAGAAAAAACGGCCGTACCGTTTATGAATTAAATCTAAGAAAGGATGATTTCAGGAACAAGCAAAATAAGGAACGAATGGGAGCTAAGGTCATATAGATAGACAGAAAAGGAAGTGGATTGATGACTATGTGTACGAATGGATGGGTCGATAGCTGCAGTTGGAGATAAAAGGTTTATCAGAAGGACTGACAAAGTGACAGAGGGATCCATGGAAGGGTGAAGGGAAGTAAAGATGGAAGAAGGAAGAAGAGGGCAGACATCATTTTGAGAAAAGCGAAAGGAAGGGAAGAAATGGAAAGCTTCTAAATACAACCATTAATTACCTTCACTTCTCGCAAAAAGTTCTTCAGCTGTTGGGCGATCTGCGAAAAGGCTGGTCTCATCAAAGGATTTTCTTTCCAACAAGAACTCATGAGCTCATATCTAAAAATTCAATACAGTATTAGCTAACATTGTCTCGCAGCTAATACTCTCAACATCTAAATTGACCATACCAAGCGTGGAAAGGGGTTGCAAAGAGGGGATTTTGAACTCAGGACAATGATCATCCGAATGTGACATTTGATTTGATGTACAAATTGTTCTTAAATCATCACGACTGATTCAATGCATCGTTTTGATTTTCAACGAGAAAAAGTGGGTCAGCGGTCTTGCGCTAAAAAACGTTTTTCGATTATTCTTAAGAGAATCCGGAAAGTAAACGTCCATTATTTGAAGCCGTCTTCATATTCAATTATGATTCAATTTAATTTTATTTGCATTATTCAAGACTTTAGAGCTTACAGTTCTTCCGAACATCGGTCGGGACGAGACATCCGGTATCCTGAGGCAAGTCGATTTACTAAGGCAATTGGTGATGTGATGTTAGGGTATGGCAACTCACCTGTTTGGCGGAAAGAAGATATGATTTAACCATTTCAGTTTTTTAGGAATATCATCTAAGACAATAAGTACTTCAGCAATAGCTTTGTGAATAGAATAGAGACTTGCTAAGACTTTATGATTTAGATAGATAAAATTAAGTGCAGCACTGTGACAAATAAGATATAACACGTATAAAATGTTTGACACGAGCACAACTTATACCTGGAAGTGGCCTTCTCATCTTGTTCAGTTTCGTCTGACTGGCAATAATCATTGTCAAAATGAAGATACTTGTGTCTATACAGTTAGCTTTACAGAAGAGCCTTGCTAACTTTGGTTGCTTTACGGATTGAAGCCTCATGACGAGAATATGACTTGTAGTTCTCAGGATATCGTTTAAGTCGCACATAGTAACACGTCACACTTACCATAAGTGGTGATTTCCCATAAAACGATACCAAATGACCACCTGCAAATATACATCAAGGCTTTAACCCTTTAACTCCCATGAGTGACCAGGACAGAATTTCTCCTCACAATATCCATACAATATCAACCAGATAAGTAATGAGAATAAAAAATATATATCAAGAAGGAGATTATTAGTTGAACCCATACCAAATTCTCCGAATAAAATCTAAAGAATTTTATGGCAGACAGTAAGGAGAATTAACCATGAGATCTTGGGAGTGAAAGGGTTAATAACTTCAATGAATAGGGAATTCGAACGATTAGCGCTGAATTGATTAAAGATCGAGTCTCGTTGTATTCTTTTAGTTTTTCATGGATATTTACATCACTCAAGACTTGGTTGAGTCTTTCGTCTTATGTGGACCTTGCCTCTGGTATCAATTTCAATCAGGTAAAATAAGCATATGATGCTCGATTTGAAGGAAGGAATTACTTAAGTCATACTAAGTTCTCATGGTGTGTCCATAAATGCAAATAGGTATAGATACACCATGCACACGAACAAAGAACGTAAAATGAAGCCCAGATATAACCATAATAATGCTCCACAGAATATACCAGAGTGCACGGCAGAAGTTTTTTTTCGGAAATCCTTTCCACTAGGCAGTACTTCCGAATCAATCTCAAGGGAAACAAATCTGACAGTATTAAATCCAAAACAAAACTTACACATCACTCATGGATGTAAAATGGAGATCTCGTAGAGATTCTAACGACGACCATCTCCACGGAACCTTTCCCTGTTGAAAAGTTGGATTCATGTGAGCAAGCTACTGTTTGTAGTGCAGGCAATGCCCTTTGAAACTGGGAAGCGGATGACTTATGAAACGGAAGGATGCATTCATTAATAGTAAGCGAGTTCTTTTTCGACTTTAAGATATGTGATAGTTGGTAATTATTATTAATTTCTAGTAAAATCCAGAGTAATAGTTACTGTGACCGTTATTATTATTGTTATTAACATTATCATAAGTTCAGAAAGTAACCCATAATTAATAATGGTAATAAGACCGAGGTGAATTCAATTCGGTCTGTTATCATACGAGTGATTAAAAAATCAGACGGCCACCAAGCGGGAGTCCGATTTGTTTGTCACGAAACTCCCCTGTTTGGTTGGGTAAAATAGTTGTTGCTATTGTTCTGTGATCAGTTCTGTGTTTGGTGGATTTGACTGAGTGGGTAAAGTAGAATTGGCTGCTTTAACTGTCCGATTACAGGTGTCCAATTACAGCCAACTGTCCGATTACAAATCTACGGAAAAATTGTGAAATATAAAACGCCTAGTGCATCAATAACTTTTAACGAAAACTGTAATTGTTATGATTAATTAAGTAAATGTATCACATAATACACAGCTCATTGAGAGTTTCATTGCAAATTATATCGTTAGAAGAAATTAATTTATTCTACTCGATTGCACTGAGGAAGAGCATCAATTTAGATGCATTTCAGCTTGTTTAATTTGTCTGTTTAGTCGTTGTACTTACGCTAGAGGTTATGGTGTATATACCAGCAGCGGATATATCCCTGGCTAATCCAAAGTCTCCAACTTTAGCCACCAAGTTGGCATCAACTAAAATATTCCTCGCTGCTAGGTCGCGATGGACAAACTGTAAGAGAAGACAATGTATAATTTTTTTGCTTAGAGACGCTCAATGATTGAGTGGCCTATACGAAAGTGTGAAAGATCCTCATTGTGTCCTGAAGCTAATTTACAAGCTGAGATTGCCTGCGTCATAAACACAGGCTTAACAAAGGCTCACGAATGATTGGGTGGCCTATAAAAAAATGCAAAAGATCTTGAATGTGTCCTTAAGCCACTTCACAACTTCGAACTGCCCGCGTTATATTTAGTGCAGCAAGAGATTATAAACTGTTTGTAATCTCTTGAGAGCAGCCATCTCTAATGGAAGTTTGACAAATTTAACATTACATTTATTTCTACACACTGCTAGCGAGTCTTACCTTTCTCTCCTCTAAGTGTTGCATTCCGGTGGCGATTTGAAATGCAATTATGACCAGTTGCCGGTCATTCAGCTTACAGCAGACGTTATGATAATTGTTCCTTTCCCCTGGTGCCCTCAAAAGATTTTCCAGACTGCCACCATGAATCACTTCAGTGACCACAAGAACGTTTCCTTGTGAGAGTAGAGCAAACACATTAGAGTTGACAAGAGAAAGAAATTAGACATTATTGTCACCTTGAGTTGATCAAAAGATGATTTGTTGGTAATTCAAGTTTAGTTTGTGGCCAAAAAAACAGGAAAAATTCCATATGAACTTCCGCGAAGTTAAACCTGAAAAATGTTCTTATCTTTCTTTAATCATAAGGTCAGTACCTGCACTGTTCTAACTGACCTTACAGACGGCTGAAACGTTACCTTGTTACTCTCAATCACCCAGTAAACATGCATATTTCTAAGACGTTGCATCGTTGAAAACTGACTTACCTCTCTCTATCCTTGTCCCAATCAAAGTGACAATATTAGGATGTTTCCCAGCTTGCTTTAAGGTCCTTATCTCATTAAGCAGGGTTTCTTTGGCAATGGCACTAGGGTCTATAATGAAATAGAGAAAAAAAAAACAAGGGAATTTCTTATATTTCTTCATTTTACGTAGTTCGCTCATCGTATCTAGCTATGGTAACAAAATTATATATGGAAAAAAAACTGGCTTGGTTAAGGCTGTAGAAAGCGTTCAGAGGGGACAATAGCAGACTTTATGGCTGTTTTTCACCAAAAGAAAAATGGTGGAAAATTAAGATGGCACATAGCTTCGAACAAGAAAAATCAGTTTAGAAGTATACCACTGTACTTAGGAAATAAAAAGTAGACATTTCGATTTCGTGTACCTACCTTTTAACTTCTTCACAGCTACATCCGTTATGTTTCCATCTTTCCCACTATATCGACCTTTGTAGACGATTCCAAATTCGCCTTCTCCGAGTATTTCATCGAACACTTCAAGATTTTCCAAGTTTTCGGATCCTTCCTCGGTCTCTTCAGATATCTCTCCACAATCCTGCTGTTCGTCGACACTCAGGTGTTTGTCAGGTGTGAAAATGTCAGCATCAGCTATCCCCTCACCCGACTCTAATCTCTCTTGGCCTCTTTCCTTTATACCTAGCACCAAATTATCCTGCTCGCTTCCGTCTGGAGGCAGTCTGTCCCCTACTCCATCTCCCACTAACGGGAGCCTTTCCACGGGGGTCTCGATGGTTTGGGTATTGGGCGACCGATTGTTTTCAAGGTCCTGTATCCCATCTTTTAAGTGTTTGTCTTTTATCAAATACAACTTTCTTGTTCGTTTTCGTCCCTTTCATATAATTGAAGAGAATAGGCAATTGTGATATTTATCCAAGAAACGTGTTTAGCTTTTATCATCATCAGCGACTGCTTTGGATGCGTCCTTTTCATTTATTTCCACGTCGCGAAGGTGTTCTCTGACACTTGTCCTTTCATTCATAACGTAGAGAAAATATCGGGACCCAAGAGATCCATTAAGATCACTGATCACTTTACGTGTACCTCCGCCAATGTTATTTCCTGCATAACCTGCACTTCTTGAAATAGGTTATGCATTGGCGAAACAGGAAGACGACTAGGTGACCGATTCCGAAAACACCCTCGCGACGTGGAAAGAAATGACCCAAGGACGCATCCAAACCAGTCGCTAGACACTTTAATCTCCCTAATCATTCTAAACAGTATATGGCAGTTTGCGGCCTTTCCTTATGTGTAGGCAGTTCGGAAAGCCGCAAAACACTAGCACAAAAATTTATCTTCCAAATCGGCACCCTTAATCCCCACGGAATCAACGAGTGCTTTTCATTCAACTAATTTATTCCTGTTTTCTCGTCACCATATTCTCGCCAATCGCGTAGCTCCACTTTCTGCATGTAAATCCACACACAACCCACAATTCCTCCAATGGCTCTGACGAGGTGCTAGCGCTCAAAACGTTTTTTTTTTTACTCTTTACGGTGGCCAATTCACGTTTTCAACTCAGTTGTTAACACTAAATTACCTGCTATACTCTCCTACCGACGCAGCATCACAGTTTCTATAGAAACTCACCCCCTTTATTCATTGGCTAAATAAGGCCAAACTGACGAAAATAATCATTAAAGGGAAAAGAGTTCGTAATAATAACAAAAACAATAATAGTAGTTATGATAAGCAGTTAAATTTGGGAAGTTTTTCTCGACTCTGCATCTTACCCCCCGAGGAAAATGCATGATTCTTGGCTGGTCAATCTCAGCATTCCTCTGGACGTCAGCACAAGCAAAGTCATATGACGGACAGAGATCATTACCCTGTGTGGGGATGTCACGTAACATTTTATTTACCTCTTTATCACGATTTTTACACCGACTCCACAGAAACCCAGTGACTGCACAAATAACTGCAGCTGCCAAAGTGCACGATACAGCGACTATAGTTGTCTTTGATGCTGAATTTTTTGGCTTTCCGTTCATGGAGGTGGGAGTAGGAGTTGCTGTGGATGAAGGATAAAACAAATGTAGTAACAAACAGGTTGTTCTTATCAACAGCACTCGTAGTCAAGAAGGATCCCTCTTACCCTATTTTTTTCCCTTCCATTGAAAAAAAAATCGTACCTTTTTTCAAGACAGCCACTCCTGATTGGCTTCTTCCAATGCTATTATTTGCAATGCATTGATATTTTCCATAGTCTCCCATCTCTACTCTCATTATAAAAAGCTGGCTGCGATTCGTTCGCCCGTCTGGAATTACACGTGCTCTGGGGTTAGACTGTAAAGGATATGAAGCATTGTCCTTTATCCAGTGGATTGTTGGCCTTGGGAGACCCCTAGCAGTGCAGCTTAAGGTAGCATTGGAGCCGATCAGAACGCTTTGGTTCTTTGGACCTTCAACGATCTCAGGTTTCTGGGCATCTGCAAATTGACACAGAAAGAATTTCAAGACCTGTTTTGAAGAGGATTGAATCTAATGGGGAGTCTCTGATGATAAGAGGACTGAGAAGGTACAGGGAACGGCTGAAAGTGAAATAATAACTTTAAAATTTTGTATAAACATTTAACAGAAAACACTGTTTATTTTCTAGCTCTTGATACTCTGGTGACACTCTTAGAGTTTTTTTTTACAATCTACGGAAATGTACACCAAGAGGCAATCATCCAAAAACCGAGCCTATCTCGCTTACTTGGTGTTGGGGGAACTTCAGTTGGGAGGCTGAGTTGACATGCAAGTGGAAGACTTCGTGGGCTTTCAACTTTGAAATGATAAGTAAGACAAACACAAATGCATATTCATGTCTAACCTGAAACTTTCGAGGATAAGAAAGCTGGCAACGACAAATTTTTACCAGCACTGTTTTTTGCCTCACATTGATATTTGCCAAAATCTTCTTTCTTCACTCCTGTAATAAACAACTGGCTTTGCATGGTTTTTTGGATTGTTGATGAATGTGGATTATTGATGAATATCACCCTTGGGTTGGACTGTAAGGCAAATGAGTCATTGTCTTTTATCCATGAGATGCTTGTCCCAGGAAGACCTGTGGCAGTGCAGTTGAAAGTTACATTGGCCCCTATATCAGTGCTTTGGTTCCGAGGAACTCCTACTAACTCTGGCGCAGGACCTGTAGGGAAAAAGTACTAATTGCAATAGATATCCCCAATTATTACTGAGATAATCTGGTATGAAGCTTATTCAATTAGCAAATGACGGCAGAATGAGAAGATATTTTCGCTATCACACTTTTGTGCCGCACAACAAGATGAACTGCATATGCAGGTACAAAGAAGGAACTATTTCAGGCCAACCCTCCCTGGCCGGAGTGTGAACCTCTTCTTTTATTCATTCTAATAATTATCATTCGTTTATTTTTGTTTCACAAAATAATTCTTTTCTCATCTTCCGAAGAATATGTTGGGTTTTTTTTGCTTCAGCATTGCCAGCACCGTATTCAGCAATCACCCCTGTATTAAGCAGTCAGTTGCATTAGTGTTTGTCAGCTACCAAAGTCCCAATTTGTTTCCCCTTAATCACTGTAATTTGCACCTGTATTAAGCGGTTGCCTCTACTTAGCGGTCGCAGTCGAACTTTACTAAGTCCCAACGGCCTTTTGCATTGCCTTCCATCTGTTTTGAACGGCCATTTATAGCCCAACCACCCTAATAAAAACAAGAATAATCCTTCAAATACTTTTTTATCCATGTTTCTCTCCCAAAATCGAAGTAAATTTGAGCGAGATTCTGTACATAAAGTGGCCAATTATAATAGTGGCGTTAGTGGCGTTGTGTATGTTTCGATTTTGTTTTTATATTTTTTTAATAATACTCCTTTTACGTGGAACCTGCATTAATTGGTCACACCACCATTCCCAGTGAATGGCCGCTTAATACAGGTTCAACTGTACAAAGTAATGCGATATGCATCAGGACAGGTCAATTGAATTGCTCCCGATTCAAATTTAATCGTTATCTGCGTGAAGAATTTCGTTCTTTAAGCGGTGCATTTCGCGTCTTGTTAGCCAATGGCCACTGGGTGCGAATAGATTGTACTAGTAAATCCAACAAAAGTTGTTTGACAATACACCCAAAAGTTTGCTCTAAAGTTGCTCAAAAGTTGCCACCCAAATTTAAAAAAGTTGCTTACTTTTGAAAGTCATTTTGTTCAAGATTACTACTCAAAACATGACGTTGCATTTGTAATTTGCTCGCAGTACAAAAAGTTGCTGAAAACACTAAAAGTTGCTCAAAAGTTGCCGAGCATAATCTATTAATCCCTAATGACCACAGTGTAATTTTCCTTTTTCAATGAATTATGTATTGGACTTTCCTTTCCATACATTCCAGGAGTTTCTTAGAAGCTGATTATTTGGGACTCCTTATTCCTGAATGAAACATTTTCGGCATTCATCTTCGTATTTTCAAAAACGGGATCATTGGATAATGCAATTCAAAAGTTTTCATGACTAAGCCAATATAGGTTATGGGTCATTAGACCATGTGCGCGCATGAAGACGAGTTACACCGGAAGCGTTTTTGTACATTGTAACATTCCGTTTGTTCTTGCAAAATAAAGTTGGGAAGATTTATGTATATATGTCCTGGGGCGTTTTTGATTCAACAATTATTCCACTCGCACTTGTTGAATACAAGATGATAGCTAACTCGGCCCTATGAGCCTCGTTGGTCATCTATCATCGCATATCCAACAAGCGCGAGTGGAAAAAATTGCTTAATAAAGGTATGATAAGCCTGGTTTCTTACCTTGAATCAATATTTCGAATGATTTCCTTGTGCAGTGGTTTCTGTAACCATTGCCAGCTTGGCAGGTGTAGCGGCCAAATTTGTCAACTGTCAGATTTTTAAGCACTAATGGACAGCTTAATTTACGTTTGTATGCCCGTTTGTTTGAAGGCTGATTGCATTTAGCTCCAACTTCATTATCCTGTGGATCATACCACTTGATATAATTGACCCATCTATCCAGATATCCTGAATCTTCTGTTCTGGGCTCCGCTGTACAATTCAGGGTAATGGAGGCACCAATGGGTAATCTGCTGTTTTCTGGACTTGAAAAGATGTTTACAACGGGTCTGACTGGGTTGGAGAGATTGAATAATAATAATAAAAAAATTAATATACAATCTCTTTATCGACCATCAGACAATGAGAAAGATTATTGATAAATCCATCTAATAAATTTAGTATGTGTGGTTCGCAAATTCTTGACCGATCAAGAGTTTTAATGCAGCTTTTTGATGTTAATTTTTACCTTTTATGTTCCACCTGAAGAGGGCCGAAGGCCGAAACGTTGTCTATTTAAACGCTGGATCAGTCAAGTATTTATCTTCGTCCTTTCTTATCTACACATGTTAAATATTTTGATGGAAATGTCTGCATCCTCTAGAATCTCTGACTGGGAGCTGTTTGTTTGGTAGCCATTTTACACTTTCTGTTCACACACACACACACACACATACACACACACACACACACATTCATTTATTGTGCATACAAGAAAGACATTCGCATAAACATGCTCTTTGACCAGGATATTTAGAAGAAGTTAACACTACTTACTCTTGAGATTTCGATTGCATGTTTCACCTTTGACGAATGGAAGATTCCATAAAGCGCAGGTAAGAGTAAATAGTACTAAACGCATTGACGCTTCTCGAAGCCAAAAATTACCCATCATCATGACACGTTGACAAATTTTTTGTTTGGATGTTTGAAGTGGCCTGCAAATGGATTGTTTATTCAAATTAAATAAGTTATTTTCTAGAGAAACGTAGTAAACTTAGGCCATAAGTCGATCTAGGTTATCATTAACCTATTGTATCTAAATTTACAAACTCAGGCAGTTACGCAAAGGAAAATGGAAATGTGAGGTACAGATTTGGCGATTTTGCACAAAACTTCCGTTATAAGGTATAGGATGTCTTTGCTTTCTTTAACTTATTCCCATACTCTCGTTTCAACCCAAATACACCAACCAATAGTGACAAACAGAATCTAAAATGAATAGCAACAAAGTTGCTCGTAAAAAAAAAAGGGTTGAAACTACTTTTGGGGTTGTGAGCTTGAATAAGTAAGGCAGCCTACCAAAGGAAACCATGTACTCTTATAATGAGCGCAAGTAACAAGCAATCACGCCAGGATTAATTTGAAAAAATTGACATTTCTTGTAGTTTAACAGATCTGAAACAGTACACATGATTTCAGTTCCACTACGCAATACAACATGAATTAGAAAAATTTTTTATTATGGCTGTATCGGCCGAGCACCGCACATATAACAATACGTTATACAACAACCTCTATTACATTCAAACATGGGGTGGAAAAACTAGAACAGAGCTGAGCGACAGTTTACACAGAATACTGTCAGAACAGAGGCCAGAAAAAACCTGCCGGAAAAAACCCCAATAGGTAAAACAAAAAACTCGGCAGGAAATCGGGGTAGGATCCATGGCTCATGCACTGAAAAGCCCATCCTACGAAGGCTACATGGCTGGAAGATCTTTGCCCTTGTTTACCAAACATGTACTTAAACAAAGCACGGAAAGCTCTAAATAATTTTAGTAAACGCAAAGAAGCTAAGAAGCCCCTGCGAAACTCGATCTGTCACTAATAAATCAATTATATACAAAAAAATAACGTGAGCAAGACGAGGTGTCGGCCTAGAATGCTTTCCCACGTGATAAACATCCCTTTTATAGCACTCCACTCTACCCATGCTGCACTTCAACAGCCCCGATCCCCACTGCTCCCGTGCCGCAGAAATATTTCATTTCCGACCAATTCGATTCGTATCCACTCAAACGCCGGAAATTCCATTTTCTCTCGAATCCTTCGTAACATTTTACAGCGACATCCATGTTGGCCTCCTTTCGATTCAGATAATAATATTACTATTGTTATCACAATAATTTATATTTTTGTCATTATCATTATCGGTGTCGTTCTTGTTATTGATCATTTTTCTTATTTCTTATTCACTGTTCCATTTGGCATCATATTAACCGCTTTTGTTTAATGACAAAATATATAGCTGATATGTAGCATATGTTTAAGATAGGTGAATTCGGTCATATTTTGTTTTATTTTCTCTGCCCCAGAAGGACTACATCTGAAGGAAAAGACATCTAGGTTAGGTTATTCGGTTCATGGAAAATCTAACTTCACTGGCAAAAATGCGCCTGTTAACGGAGAGATATTCGGCCGCAAAACTGGTCCTGAAAGTGGACACGTGCCTATGAACTCATCGTTTTTGGAAAATTAAATTAAAACTGAATGGGTGCGATTGTCGTCAAAATGCAACCAACAGTCGATGTGCATTTGTAAACTAACTTTAGAGGACGAAAATGATTCACTTGACGATAACGCAGTGTAAAGTTAAACTTTCGTGGTAGTAATATCACCAAGAATATGCAAATTGGGTAAAGTTAAAACATTGTCTTCGTTCTAGCTCGATTAAGTATAATCGCTTCGTTTCTAAGCAGCATTTCAATACAAGTGGCAGCTCTCCGAGTTTGCTTATCACTGGACTTGCCAACCGAGCGTTTTCCTGAACGGGTGTTTCAACTTTCTTTGTATGTAATTTTGTTTCTTTTATGGCTTTTATCTATACATCCAAAGCTTAAGAACGAAATCGCCAAATGTGAAGTCCAAACAGGCGAACGGCAGAATCAAAATTATGCAAGTAGCTTTAACATTTCATATTTACGTTGGATTGATTATATCGCGATACGAGGCAAAAGTCACGATTAACCAAATTTATGCATCGTGGAGGAGTTTGTGGAAGATTAACCGCATGTTTATTTATTAACGAACGAATAAGTATTTAACTTGTTTAGTTCAATGAGCTCTACATGCACGAAAGAAATATAACAAAAATGATTACAATAATGATACACGATTTGCCTCGTTGAGAAATGTAAGAGGAAATGTTTTTAATGGAGATTCAAACGTGAGAATACCCGCCAGCATTGAAACTTAAGGATCCACTTTCCATTCATTGAGATTAAAAGATCTGAATATTGAGCAGTATTGCCTTTCAAAACCGAGGTAGAAGTAACTTAGAGTTTTCCTCATTGTAGGAGTCGTGTCGTCTGAAATTGCGACGGCTGTATACATGTTTTTGCTATAAGCAAAAAGTTGACCAGTCCAGTTTTTATCTATCATATGCGTGCTTCCGTTTGGCGACTGTATTAACGAGATAACAATGGGAGTTGGAAGAATCATTTTTGTACATTTTCCAAATAGTTCATCGATAGCCTGAAAAGCCAATTTGTTTCTTATAAATAGGCCACTAGCTTATCTCATTTTCCATTTTATTTTTTTCCTTTTCGATATGTGAATGATGGCGACTAAAGATGGCATTTTGAAATTCGTGAGTGAACATGACAGACTCCTCCTGTAGTCAGTACTAAAAAAAGATGTCATAACGTAAGGCCCAATTTGTCCATTTTTTTCCTACTCGCGACAAATGTTTGTGAAAAAGATCCTATTCTTTACATGTGATGTTAATTATTAGTCACTAAACTGAAAAAATCATCCCAATGCAAGCGATCAATGTAGCTTAATGATTAGCTGGGGAGAACAGAACACGTACTTCATATTTCAGCTCAAATTCACACAGCTGGTATACACTCTCTGACATAACAAATAATTAGATCGATCTTTCTGTCTTCCAATGGAGGAAATTTAAATGAACGCGTTTTGTATCAACTTATTATTTCATACAAATGGTTTCCATGAGCGCCTAATAAAGGTACAAAATACGAAGATTACCTCAAATTAAAGTTAGCTCTGTATAAGACTCTGATCACTGCAGATTAAGGAAACAGTTAAGAATAAACGTTAGCAAAAATTCAAGACGTCTTAATCATTATGTTGAAGACAAAAATGGCCACTAATACTTTCCATCAAAAAGTATACAAGCTACGATCTCATCAGTTGTCTCAAAACAATTGGGGCGATTACACATCACGTATAAATCATACCTGATAAATATATCTCACTAATTGGATGTTTTGGTGTGTAGTATCGCTGAGTATTTTTACGATTTGTGCCGTATTTTTACTCGCCTTACTTGCTCGTCAAAATATTGCAGGATATTTGTACTCTATTCACGCGTTATTTGTACTCTACTTTGCGCTGTGTGATAATAATAAAACGTACTGTATCAAACAATTTTGTTTAACGATAAATTGTTCCGAAAATCGTTTTTAAAAATAGCTTTTTGGCATATAAGTCTTGTCATTGCTGTTTACAGTACCTATTTATTTCCTTTACTTTATTCAAAACGTCATTTTACTTTGCAGAAAAATGCAAAAGAAATCATCATTTGAAAGAGAAATTGTTAGAAAAAATGCATAAACTTACATTATGTTTTTGCTGTGAGTCTTGTTTATACACCACTTAAAGGATGATAGTGCAATTAATCATAGGCTGTCGTACAACACCACGTCAGATTGAAAGTTATGCGCACTTTACGTAGTCATAAATAACCTGTCATACGAAACGACATTTTTCATTTGCTGAATACGACTCAGCAGGAAGATGAAAGTTGGAGTAAAAAGTTCCTGCTGAGCTAAAAGTTGGATAAGATCAAATAGCATATTCGCAATTCCTGTTTCTGGACAAATCGTAGAAAGCTATTATTATCCAATTTGTGAAACAGTATCCGATAGACTCGAGAAAAAAAGAAAAAAACAGGCAGGAAGTGGTGCGTAGACGCTGAAGATGAGTTTGTGCGGGAAAAAGCTCTTTGCGCTTAAGATAATCGTAAACAACTGAGACCAACTGTATTTCCTCTAATATTTTATTCGATATATATATATATAAAACAAAATACAGACTTTTTTATAGGCCATTGAGTTCAAACCCTACCGGTTCCTCCTTGTATCGCCTTTAAGATAGACAAGTCCTCTAATATTCAAAAATTGAGCCTTTGTTTGGTTAATTTTAAGTCAATACCTCATGCATTTCTTAAAGCCAAGAGGAAACAGATAATTAACTAAGAAAAAAAAACAGAGAATTTTTACTCAGTGATGAGGGATTTTCGTGAATGCCCATAACAACGAGGATGGCCATAATTCGTTTGTCATCTGATCATCTGAATACACTCAATGTGGGTGCAGATGGTGGAGCATTACTTTAGTTCAACGATAAAACTGACAAAAGTTAAAGAGGTGTCCTTTTAAAATTTGTGTCTTCAAGTGATGGAAATTTAAATACAGTAGATATTTATTTAGGGTAGAATCGCCTCACCCGGAGGACTTACAAAAACCCTTCACTAATAACATTTATAAAGAGAAAATACTCTTTAACTTTATTGAACACATATTGTCAGCTGTTTTAAGCTTAGATTAACTCGTATTTTCTCTTATTGTGAATTAATCGTATAACAGATCGCAAAATTGTTTTCGCCAAGTTCGTTTTTTGTGCCTAGATTTTCTGGAAATATTTTCGTAAATGGTTCTTTTGTGTTGGGTTAATTCTGTTAGGTTTTTTTATATAGAATTTACGATTGGAGAAGGCCGGGTTTCTACGTTTCTTTGTATATTTTAAATGACTCCTCTTAGGAGCTTGTATTCAGCGACTCGGTTATTGGTGGCCGAGTTTGTAAACAAACTTTTCTTTACACCTTCTGAACTGAATTTCTATTTAGTTGTTATTTTAATTTATGGGAAAGGCGACACCTCAGGTACGCCCCTTCATCTCCAATTTTCTGTTTGCGTTATTGTTATGTAACAACCTTTAAAGGTAATTTTCTCCGCTGTTCTCATAGAAAGTCATATTCTGATGTCGCTAGATCGTGTTCGTTATTCTGGAACTGAGGTATATCAGTAAGAAAATTAAGGAGTAAAGTCGTTTCTGTAAATGATAAATAAATCGTAGGAAGTTACTTAGTATGCATGAAAAGTTGCAAGCAGCCCAATACGATTGGCTGTCGTAGGTTGATGGACATTTACTGAAAATTCTCTGACACTTGGGATGATTGCTGTCACCTATAAAGACTGTTGTCTGGTCTTGCGAAATTGATTGTAACGCAGATAATCCTCCTAGAATCAATAAAGTGGAGTTCGTAGGTTGATGGACATTTCCTGAAAATTCTCTGACAAATGAGATGATTGCCGTCACCTATAAAGACTGTTGTCTGGTCTTGCGAAATTGATTGTAACGCAGATAATCCTCTTAGAAGTTGTCATCAATAAAGTAAAGTTTAAAAAAGGGAGAGTTAGGAAGAGTTACTCCCTCAACACTTCACCGTCAATTAACAGGTTTTGTGTTGGGGCGTAAACTAGTAGAAATAAGCGATAATTGTATCGGAAACACGTGGCTTGTGACGTAGTCACTTACATTCGGGATAGTTGAAAATAGTTATTGTTGTACTTTGTGAAGAAAACAAGAAATACATTTTCTTGAAGCATTATTTGTTTCACTACTTCTCAATGTGCTTCTTGGGGCACTGGTAACATTTGCGGCTCGCCCTCCAGGGGTTGTCAGGAGAGGCTTAGTTCAATAGCTCAGATTAGGAGACACTGGCACAGAGCCTGAACAGGTCTACAGAAAACGAAAATCTGAGGTCAATTTCCTAGATAACATTTACACCAGTAACGACTCGGGCGGAGGCGTCTGCATGAAATTGCTCTTTAATTCAATGTCCTCACGTCTTGGTTGACGATCGTAGATGGGCCATGATAAAGAGTCCTCCATCCGTCCTAGTCCTGATGTACGTCCCCATTTTAGGTCAATGTTGATCGTTTCCTGAAATGTAGTCACATAGATTGAGAATAACGTAGGGGCATGGACCTTATCTAAAGCCATGATTAATGGTGTGTGAAGCGATCAGCTCGTCACTAACTGACACTCTTCCAGCATTCCTTCGTAGAAAAATTTGATAACGTTGACAAGCTGTAGTTTCAGAGCTGGTAGTCCTAACTGCCTTCTCAAGGGCGGCCATGGACATTCCGCCATCCAGATTCCCTCTGGTTTGCGTTCTTCTGATTCTTACGCATGTCTGCGGCGGCGCGGGAACGAGTCACATGACAGCTGACTGACACGAAACAACACAATTTTCACTATTTTTAACGACGTATTCGCTTTCTTGTTATTTCGAAGCTATTTCGCTATCACGTTTGGTCTCTTAACTTCTGCCACTTTTTTTGAAAACAGGTATGTGTAACTTCTCTTATCTGTAGGTTAAAGTGATCTTTACGTTATAGTGGTCAGGAGTTTAACTCACTTTCGTTATGTCTTCGGATTCTGTTTTCACAACTTTCGGACATGTATTTCTCGGTGCTTATGCCAATACCGCCAACAGGGGACACTATTTATGTCAAGTAGAAGAGAAAAAGTAATGAGAAAGTGGAAATCACGCATTCTGAACGCTCTATTAATCTTAAATTGTCACAAGTAAGTCAGCTTCATCGGTCATGATTTCAGATCGAAGGAAAATTTATATCAAAAGACGTAGTTAGAAATCATTTTAACCTGAACTTTATTTAAGCCTACATGATCTACTTTGATAGATAGATAACAAACCCAGTAGGAGCACATGCTATTCAGTCTGTTGTAGAGGCAGTCATCAAGAATTATGAAAAAAGATTTTGATATACTCATAATTTGTATTCTAGGTTTTACAGTCAGCTGGTGATCAATTAAAAGATGGAAGGTAAGTCTTCACTGGTGGTAGGTAGATAATCAGCAGTGCCTCCTTTTCACCGGAGTCCATCGCGCAAATTGTCAAATTTTAATTTCAATTAAGACTAACCAACAAATTGTAAATCTGTGAAATGTTTCAGCGAGGATGAGTATAAAGAACGAAACTCCCAAGAAGATAATTAGGAACCAAATTTTGCAGTGCATAATTGTAATTCGCCTTCAGTGATCCCAAAGTGATATACAAATCTTGAGACTAATGCTTGAGTTATGCTTGGTTCCGAATACGGAGCCATGGATGTTGACATTATGTGAGGTGGGCTGCAGGTCATGCACAGTCCTCAATTAACCAATTCAATGGCAGCAAGAGATCTTTCTAAAAATTTATAAAACACATGGTACTTGAGGATGTCTCTAGAGCTGGTTGGCAAAATTGCCAGAAGGTACTCTCCAGCAATAAAAGCTGTATAAGCACATTACATGTAGCATTCTCTTGTTTCAGTGAATGAATTGTCAGAAACTGCAATAATAATTCCTGCAGTTCATCAGCCATGAAAAATCTGGAGTGTAGGCAGCAAATTTTATTAATTACCTACTTGAGTCATATCAGATATTCCCCCCTACATTTATTTTCAAAATAACAACTAATGCAGTAAGATATCAGTGAGTTTAAAGAGGTAACTGTATTTATTCACTTATAAGGTGCACTCAGTTACAAGACACACCCTAAACTTTCGAAGATGATTGTGACAAGTGAGCAAAATGAAAATTTCATATAAATACCCTGTTATAAAGCACACCCGGAATTACGGGAAATTTTGTTGACCACGTTCACTGTACTTACAACAATTTGCTTCCAAAAGTTACTAATTACAATGCTCTCAAAACAAAAGCAAAAAAGTCACACATGGAAAATAGCATAAAAGTCACATTTTTTAATTCACTCAAGTCATCCTTCTCAAGATACAGTGTTTTGAGTTATGAATACTAATTGATCCATTTTTATGCTTATAAACAATACTCATCTGACAGATCTTTCATTCATCAGTTGCAAAACTCATCTTAATCTTCGAGCATTCATTCAGTGTACCGTAAATTCTCAGTAATTATGCCAAGCACTCGTTCAAGTCCTGTGGCATCAGCAATGCTCTCTATGGAACTGAAGATGATGCGGTTTGGGATGACAAGGAGGAAGAAACAGAAGACACAGAAGAGCGGATTGACAACGAGTTTGAGAGCAAAGCCAAGGACGAGTAGCTGAGCTCAGCCTAGCTTTCAAACAAACGGTTCTTTACAGAGCCACCTCAGTTCTTTTTAGAAACAACAAATCAGATAAAGTCAATGATCAATGTCATTTGTCTTTTGTTTATTCATTTACCCATTGGGTAAATGAATAAACAAAAGACAAACGACGAAAACTTATTGGGTAAATGAATAAACAAAAGACAAATGACGTTGATCATTGACTTTATCTGATTTGTCATATTTATTTACATACTCATTTCAGTTTATTAGGGAAATTTGGAAGTTATATTTTGTTGCATGCAAATACTCAGTTATAAGATGCACCCCAAGTTTTGAGCAGATTTTTGATCAAACAAGGATATTTTTTTGTAGAAAATGGTGCGCCATATAAGTAAATAAATATGGTATAAGGAGTGTACATACTCATAGTATATCCAACAGGCAATTTATGAGAATAAAACAGAATTATTTTATGACCATCTACTGAACTTCTGGTACTAACAGACATTGAATGAAAGTTTTTAGAAATCCCTTACTAAATTTATCCATTTTTTTATTAGCTTCTTCAGGGAAAAAAGTTGGGGAGAATCCTCAAAATGAAATAAGTCATGGAGCTTCAACCAAAAGTTACTGTCATCAGCTTTCACAACCAACTGTTGATACGGGTAACAATCATGATACAGATAGTGACCAGGTGACAGAGTCGGCTGAAAATTTTCCTGTCCATCTGACAGTAAGCGACCTAGAGGTAGAAATTGGTGCAGGCAGCTCTGAGGGTTCTGGAAGCCAGCCAGTCAAAGAAATGCCCACTGGAGATCCAAAATCAGTTTCCCCCAGAGGAGCAGGTTTGGTTTGTCTTTGGTTTGTGTTTTCCACGACTTTCAGTCTAAATGCTTATGATAGTATTGCTAACAGAGAACACTATTTTTGTAAAAAAAGAAATGAATAAATAATAAAAAGATGAAAATCAAACTTTCTGGGAGCACAATAATCACAAAGGTTAATTTATGGACAACCATCTACAAATTGGTTCAAATGGTTCTCTTATCTACTCATTCTAAGGAACAGTTTTTCTGCAGTTTTAGTTGTTTGGTGTCGTGCTATTTTGCAGTTTGTAGTGAGCCTAGGTGGAAATTATTCTAAACACAGGTGATTTGTGTTTTCTTTGATCTAGGTAAATCAGCTTAATTGATCATGACTCCATTATGAAGAAAACTTTGAATTGAAATACCTAATTTAACATCATTTACTAGATCACTTCCTAAATTCTTGATCTATTTTTTATTTATTTCCATATTGTATTACCTTCTCCAGGGAAACAAGATAGTGGGGTGCAACAAGTTGGAAAGGCTGCTGAACACAGTGATTACCATCACAGCTTACCTTTGGTTAGTGTAAATATGGGTTGTGTTTTTATAAAATTGTAGACAGTTCTACAATCTCTTTTCTCTATTCCTTTAGTATTGTCCAAAATCATGATGAAATCCCTCTATTAACCAATATATCAACCCTAATGGCTAATATTTATATGAACATATTTTTATTCAAAAGGGTTCAAATTGGAATTCTGATCCTGGTATATAAAGCCAATAGCCTGTTGAACAAAATTATTGTTTTTGGTCATGGTCTTTAATTCAATATGGAGTATTTCTTTGTATTTACAACTGTCATGTGTGTCCCTTTCTTTCAGGGCCAAGATACAGTGCCAAACTTATTAACTGAAGATTTTAGGGAAGCAAAAGAGGTTTGTTGTCAAACTGCATGTAACTGCTAACACTAAGTTTATCAAACTGTCCCTTTTCTAACATGGTTCATTGTGGTTAAGTGAAGTTTTTTGTCATCAATATGATACAGATATAAAAACATGACTTTGTGCAGGCAATGTTCATAGTTGAGTTATTAACATGCATTGATTTTTTTTAATGCTAGGTTTACTTTAAGAAATTACAAGAGGAAAATGAGGATCTTAAAAAGGTGTGTGTTTTGATTAATTTAAGTAACCTCTCAGTGTTAAAATGTTTTGTATGACACACATTATCATTTATTTCCAGAAAATTTGGCCTTTAAACTGACAAAGCCTTTATATTTTAGATATACAGCCAGTCTTTCAGTTCCACTCTTTAAAAGCATTTACATGTATTACTAGTTAGGATCTAACAGTACTTCAGATTACTTTTAATTCTTGAGTCTTTTGGTAGGCATTTTTATTGAAACAGGTTAAGTATAGAGTATAGAGTTCAACTTCTACATTATAGTGGCATTTAGAGCAAAATAGCGATGCTGTACTGTACATAGCTCAACAGATAAAAAATACTTCCATGATGAATGTAACTTCAAACAGAAACTTTCAAAAAAAAGAGTTCAGGTAACAGGCAGATTTACTGCTTGTCTTAGTCTTTAAGTCTGTCTGATTCATTTTGTCAAAATTTTGACTTTATTTTAAATGTCCTCTTTTCACCTCTCCACAGGTCGTAGAGAAGAAAGCTGGTGAGGTGAAGGCTTTGCAAAAAGAGATTGAGGTATTAAGAATTTTTTTTTCTTATTTTACGCAATCTGTGAAAATTTGTGCAAATATTGGTATGGAATTTTGGCATTTTTCTGAATTGTGTCATCTTAGTGTGGTTGTCAGTTTCCTGCATATCTGGTTTATAAGATATTTTGTGTTACTTATCAGGTGAAGAAAATATGATGGTCATTCAATTGTCATCATTGTTATTATTATTATTATTATTATTATTATTATTATTATCAATAATTATTTGCACTCTAACTGTTTCCTGTAGATATTTTTCCAGTTTTTCTCTGGTTTCTGCCGTTCCTTTATTTTAGGTTAATTTCTGAGCTGCAACTTTTGAAGTTGTGGCCACTATGTTATGCTGGCGGGTGTATATTATTAGATACCCATGAATTATTTTTCTCTGGATGATTGGCTAATTATAGATCACAGGACCTTGCACAAAGAGGGATGGTGTTATGGTTTTCTGTCTCAGGGTCATTGCACATTTGCACATATATGTGAGGCCAAATCAGGGTTCAAAGCAATTCTGTGCTAATTAACTTGAACCCTTATTGGTTTTAGTACAGGATACATTTTCATCCAATGTTTCTCTCCAGGGACCAATCATAAAAAGAAATATACTGTGTTATGTTGTGTTTTGTCAATATATGCAAGTTTGTCATTGGCTTGTGGCTCTTTTTTTTTTAATACTGACTGAGCAACTTTTTTAGGAAAGCTCCACCCGAGAATCAGAGAAGAATGAGTTGATCAAAAAACTGCAACAGGTTTGATTCTTTTTTTAAGTACACTTATTTAAGTACTTTGTAGTGAGATGTTCATTTAGGAAACACTGTTATTCAATAAATAACAGATTTAGGCATCAATCATTTCTTATGATATAAATTTGTGGACAATATCAGCCTCATGGACATAGTGTATATATATATATATATATATAGTCATGAGAATTTAGATGGTTTTTGATCATTTCGTACACCAGTGGTTTTGCACCTAACAAGGTCTCTACCAACTGCTTGTGTGAAAGGAGCTATTATTATATAAACATCAGTGAAGTACTAAGTGCGTTTTCACACCAAAACATGATATCTCCACACATGAAAGTGATATGTTATCATCATATTATTGATTGATTAAGTATTTCATTGGTGTTAACATAGAAAATAGAAAATTACATGGCCACTTGGAGATTTGAAATTGCTATTCTCGTTTTAAAAATATCTTACTTGCTTCTCCACTTACTTGTGAAATATTTTTTAATACTCAAAGAGAAATTTCCTATCTCAACGTGACCTTGTACTATCCTTTACTTCCTTCCCCTTCGACTTTTCCTTTCCATCTTTTTCCTTCTTTTCTTGCTCCTTGTCCTCTTCTTCGTACCTTTTCACCCCCCTCTTGTTTTCTCATTTACCTTTCCTGCCCCCTTTATGTCCACCCTCTCTTTACTTCCTTCCCCCTTCAACTTCTCCTTTCCATCTTTTTCCCTCTTTTCTTGCTCCTAATATCCTCTTCGTCCTACCTCTCCACACTCCTTGTGTTCTCTCCTTTACCTTTCCTGCCCCCTATATGTCCACCCTCTCCTTTGCTTCCTTACCCTTGAACTTCTCCTTTCCATCTTTTTCCCTCTTTTCTTGCTCCTTATCCTCTTAGTCCTTCCTCTCCACACTCCTTGTGTTCTCTCCTTTACCTTTCTTGCCCCCATTACCTCCACCTTCTCTTTACTTCCTTCCCCCTTCAACTTCTCCTTTCCATCTTTTTCCCTCTTTTCTTGCTCCTTATCCTCTTTGTCCTTCCTCTCCACACTCCTTGTGTTCTCTCCTCTACCTTTCCTGCCCCCATTACCTCCACCTCTCTTTACTTCCTTCCCCCTTCAACTTCTCTTTTCCATCTTTTTCCCTTTTTTTTCCTCCCTCCTTATCCTCTCCATTACTTCCTTCCCCCTTTCCCCCATTCCCCTTTAACTTCTCCTTTCCGATTTTTTTCCTTTTTTTTCTTCCTCCTGATCCCTTTTTTCCTACCCCCTATACCCCTCTTGTTCTCTTCTCTACCTTTCCTGCCCCCTATACCTCCACACCTCCTTTAATTACTTCCCCCTTCAACTTTTCCTTTCCATCTTTTCCCCTTTTTTTCCTCCCTCCTTGTCCTCATCTTCCTACCTCTTCACCCCCCCTCTTTTTTTCTCATCTACCTTTCCTGCCCCCCCATACTTCCCCCTCTTCTTTCCCTTATCATTCTATCAGAGCTTTTCAAATGTTTGACTAGTGTGATGATCCTTTGTAATCATGCTGTGTTAGTTTAGGAATATTGATTAATCTTATTGATTGAATTGGATATCTATCCCTTTGGGAGAGACGTTGACAGTTTTAGATTGCAGAACTCTGCTTTGTTCAATTTATACTCAATTTACAGAGAAAAAGAAAATACATTACATGGTCACTAATAATAAAAAAAACATTAAATAAGAAAATATTATAAAAGAACAAAGGAATTAACATTACTAACAATTCTGGTTTCCAACTCCTCCACCTGGTGTAAGGCCAGTCCAACAGGGTTTTGTTAACTAACATACATTATTTTACTGTGTGCAAATAAGTTTCGATGTGCAAAACACTCATCAATAGTAATTTTCTCCTTTTAAACATTTTAGATGTATCAGTGGAAGGAGGGTGAATGCAATAAATTAAAGGAGGTAGATTCTTTTTTGAATATTCCAAATATGTTCAATTTAATATTAATTTACTACAATTACCTTATAAAATAAGGGTTACAATAAGGCATTGACCTACTTCTGGCAGTACTTCCAAATATCACTTGTCAGTGACACACAAACAACTTTACCATTGACTAACTTCTAAATGAAAAATGTGTTTTGACACTGCATTCTGCATGCATGTTCCTGAGCATGTCACTTGCTTGAAATTAGTTATAATTCTTTCCCCTTCATCTTCACCTTCCCATCCTTTTCTTTCTCTCCTTCTGTTGATTTAATTTCAGAGAATGGCCCGAAATCAACTAAGAATATCTTGAGATATGTTTGATTCACAGTAAGAAAATATTGACTATAATGATCTTTATATCACTTGAATGCAGGACCAAGAGAATCAGGCCAGGCAGATTGAGGCTCTTGAAAACAAAGTTCAGGTATTGGGAAGATTTGCAGCCTATCTTCAATGTTTTTATTACAGTAACTACACTTCTGATTTATTTTGTCAAAAATAATTTCACGATTGAATGTACTAATGTCACCTCTCTCAAGGACCTGGAGAAGGAAACTGGTCAGGTGGAGGATTTGGAGAGTAAGATTGAGGTATTAGGAACCTTTTTGCCTATTTTATGAATAAATTTTAAAAAAGCTAAGAAAGTTCAAACATAGTTTGTGAAAATTGGTGTATGACAGTTTGGTCTAAATGTTGGTATGAAGATTTGGCATTTTTCAGAATTATGCATGTCATTTTAATTTGAGTATCAGACTTTTCTGGATCATAATCTACTGTGTATAAGATTTATTTGTGTTATTCATCAAGTAAAGAAAATATGATCAAATATTTAGTAACATTTTTATTATGATAATAATGATTAAAAATAATAATAATTATTATTATTAGTAGTATTAATTATTTGTACTGCAACAAATTACACCACCCTAGCTGTTAACTTATAATAGAGACTGCTCCAGCATTTCTCAGGTGGAGGAATAAATTTGTTTAAATTTCCCTTGAGTCCACTTTGCTTTGTGTTTCTACAGTCAAGTAGTTTTTATAAATTATGACTAACTATTGTTGTTTTAACAACCTTGTTGATCAAGTCTCTTGAGAAGCAATGTGAAAAATTTAAAACAGACAACGACAACTTACATCAAAATGCCATGTTTCTTGTCAAGGTAGGTACATACAAACTTATTTTTCTCAATTATAATTTCCTTGTGATGCAATTTCACTATGATGATCATCGAAAACAAAATAGAAATTGATCTTGCATCTTAAAGTAAAACCTTAGTACAAAGTAAATCAAATTTAATGAATGCAAGTTATGTTATCAATAATTTTTTTAGATTAATGGTTACTGTTAATTTTGATCTCTCTTGACTGTTTTGCTAACATTGATTTATTAGGCTTCCAAATGGTGCACCCAGATATTAATATAATTGATATATATATAAAATGTTCAACATTCTTTTCTGGTTCTTAATTACAAATAGCAAGAAGGCAAGGCATGCGAGGCATGTGAACCATTGCAAAATGCACGTTTTTAAGGAAACCTTTTTACACAGAAATATATAAAAAGTATTATAGTAATGTATTGTTGGATTGTGGTCAAAGTCTACGTCAAACGAACAAATTTTGACTTTCTCTCCCCTACTTAGATGGATTTTCTATCCCAATCTCTCAACATGTTCATGTGTAGAATCATTCCTTGTACAATCTTTCTTGTGGGAATTGAGCATCCTTGTCACTTGTTATTCTTAAGGCTTTGGATTTTGCAGCATTTTACTGCATTTACATGATGCAAATATGCCCATACATACTATGCCTTCTTTTTTCATAATGTAGTTATTTCATAGTAGAAAGCTGTTATACTACATTGCATTAAGAATAAAAGGTAGAATGTGAGAGGAACCACTGTAACCCATGATCAATAAGCAAAATAATTGTGATGAAATACAGTCTATATTCTCCACTAAAATTGCAATTATTACAAAGAAATACAGTCATCCCTTAGGTTATCGATGTTAATATTAAGGATGTGTAGTTGCATTTTTATACATTCCTGACAGTTGGAAATTGTTTCTATAGTTTGTCTTTATGCCTTGCAGGCTTTGCACCATGCCTTGAATGCCTTGTAATAAAGTCTTCTTTTCTGGTTTCAGGAATTAAGAGAAAAGACGGAAGAACTTGACATTGTTTCCCAGTACAAACAAGAAATTCAGAATTTGGAGGTAGTCTTTTTTTAGGCTTAGTTGTCTTGCCTTTGTGTATTAACTTCTGGGGAGAGGGGGTGAATTATAAGGGTAATTGCATGTGTGGTTTTTACCATCTGTTCTAGCGGCAAAAGTAGCCATTGGATTGCACCTCTACAGAGTTTTGTTTTGATGCCTTACATTTAACTTTTTATCTATAATGTGTAAACTTATGCTTCCATAGCTTCCATTTTTACTTAAGATTCTTAATATAGACAGTTAAATGTAACTTCAAAAAAAAAAAACAGCTCAGAATTGTAATTTTTTTGGAGTACAATAAAGGCCAAGTTCTGTTCAATCAATCAAGTTTTAGATATCAAGAAGTCAAACTATAATTTAAATGTAAGAGACCAAATTCCTTAGTTTATATAAGTACATTTTTTTCTTAACAGCAATTTAGAGATGAAGTCCTTCATAGCCTTCAAGATGCACGGACGGAACGTGAAATGGTATTTAAATTTAAATCTGGCATTTCTGGTATTTATAGATTTCACATCAGTTAAACCCTGCAGGTTATAAAATTTAGCCTAATGAATTATATTATGGTTCCCCTTTCTCTGAATATTATTGGCTGTTTATAGATCGCATGACCATGAAGGAAGAGGATGACTGATTGATAGATTGGTCCCATATGATTGATTGATTGATAGATTGATTGATGGGTGTGGCTAAATTAAGGTTCCAAGCATTTCTGTGATAAATAGTTCCCCTATTGCTTTGAGTAAGGGATAATTTTTCAAATGTTTCCCTCTAGGGACCAGTCATCAAGGGTAACATTGTATTATGTTGTGTTTTGTTTTGTGTACTGTATGTAAGTGTGTCATTGGCTCGTGGCTTTTTTCTTATAGCTTGAGCAACTTTTAGAGGAAAGTGCTGCCAGAGAAGTCGAGAATAATGAGTTGATAAGAAAACTACTACAGGTTTGTTTTATTTATTAATTAATTACATTTATTTGAGCACATTGTACTGCAGTATGTTTTCCACAAGCATTTAAGGAACACTGTTATTCAATAAAGGGAAGCTATGGACAGCAAGCATTTTTTGCAATGTCAACAGGATTAGCTGCAAGGATAATATCTAGGAGTTGTCATGAAGATTGAGATACAGCATTTCAATATGGTGATGTGCAAGACAATCTCTTTCCTTTCTTTTCCTCATTCTTCATCTCTTTATGGGCATTCTTTTCATTCATCACATTGATCATCTCGCACAACTCCACCTCCTCTTCACCCTTTTTTGTTCTCCCTTCAATTTTGTTCTCCCTTCATTTTGTTCTCCATTTTTTTCATCTGCACTGATTGGGTGCTTGGAATGAGCCTTTCATTCCCCTTCATCTTCTTCCTCCCATTTATTTCCCTCTTTCTTTCCTTCCTATCCTCTTCTTCCCTCCCTTTTACCTCTCTCATTGTCTCAACATCTCTCCCTCTACCTTTTCTGTCCCCTTTTTCTCTTCCCTCTCCTTCTCCTTAATAGCTTGAACCTTGCATACATGGCATACATGTAGCTGTTCAGATGACGAGTGTGATGAGGGAATCCTTCCTTTGTAACCTTTGTGAGTTAAGAACCTTTTTATTAATCTTGCAGTAATAATCCTTATTTTAAACATTTTAGATGAACCAGTGGAAGGAGGCTGAATGTAAGAAATTAAAAGAGGTAGATTATTCAATTAATTAATATACTAAATATGTTCAATTTTTAATGCATGTAATTTTTACTGTTATGGCCTTGTGTAGCAGGGGTTACAACAGTGTTTACCATCAATCCTTTAGCAACACTTCCAAATATCACTTGATACAAAAACAACTGATGGCTGATTAATGTTAGGAAGAAAGTGTGTTTTGACACTACATGTACATTTTGCAATTATAGCTATTGGTAAGCATGTCAGTAACCAATGGTGGCCAACCTAAGTGCTATAACAGTAGTTCTGCTTTCAATGGGAATTTATGTTACTGCCCTTAAATTCTAACATACACATGTATCTCATTCGATTTTCCAACCAAATGTATCTCATCTCGCACTTGAGTGACAAATTTTAACACTATTTTTTGGTTTTATCAACTGACTTGATAAGATGTAAATTAATTGGACACTGTATGTGTAGGGTTCTGAGGGGTGCTGAAGCTGACATTGCAAGCATTAGCCCTGCATAAGCCCTTTGCTCTGGTGAAATGCTAGCGCTCAAAATGCCAGCTTTAGCAACCATTTATGGTGGTCAATTACTTTATCAACTCAGTTGATAAAACCTACTTAGCTTGTTATATTCCCTACTGACTCAGCAGCACAGTTATGTTAGATCTAACTTACCCCCTTTATCAGCTTTAACACTGTATTGCTTATGCGACACATTGAGAAACAGTTCTAAACTTTCAGGGCTGGTTATTTACACAAGGTCTAACCCAAACTGTGGTTTTATGCAAGCAGTGGGCCTCAGGGATTCTCTATGAGAGGGTTGATTGAATTAAATAAATGTACTTCGACTTTTAGCTTTGAGCCCTTACTTTGACTTTGTTCACAAAAATAAAAGTTAAGACAAAAAGTTTGGGTAAATTGAAGGTGGCTTAGAACGCAGTTTTGTTAAACAATGGCTAAACTTTGTTTAAATAACTGGCCCTTTGGGTTTCCTATCAAGATTGATATTATAATAATATTTATTTATTTACTTATTTTTTTACATTATTGGGCTAAACAACTCAGCTGTGTATGTTGACAGACTCTTATTTCTGTATTTTTGTTTCCATGAAAGTGTTTTGAATTTATTTTTACATCCTGTACCTACTTGCAGGACATTCAAGAACAAGATCAGGAAACTCTAAAGGGTGGTGAGGTAAAATTGGTTTGAAAATGTGATTTGTTAAGTAATAAAACATGTAGCTGGTTTTGTTTGTTTGTTTTTTTTTCGGGTAGGTTTAAATTTTTGTTCAAAATCCATTTCATGAGTATTAGGTTTCTTTTAAACCCTTTTAAGTAAAATAAAGTACGTGTAATGGACTCTGCACTAAATTGGTTGGATCTGCAGTTGTTCATCGCTTACACATAAGCCTTTAATTTCTTTCAATAATATCATATGAAACTGTGCGATGCCGTGGCCCAAATATCCTTTTTGTTCACAAAAATTCAGGTTGAACGAAACTGTGTTAAACATACACCACACACTAACTTAGTCATAGAGTCTGTCTCATTCTTTTTTATGTTGGGTACGAATGCTGCCCTGAATCGGCATGCAATCGTCAAACAAGCAAACAAATTTTTTAAGAGAGGAATTAAGTGAGAGAATATTAGAAAGTGAACTGTAAGTTTGATTGGTAATTTAGTGTTAATTAACAACTGAGTTGAAAACGTAAATTGGCCACCGTAAAGAGTTTATAGGCTGACGTTTCCAGCGTTAGCCCTTCGTCAGAGCGATTGCTCATTCTAACGTCAGTCTTTAAACTCTTTACGGTGGCCAATTTACGTTTTCAACTCAGTTGTTAACACTAATTTACCTGTTATACTCTCCTACCGACACAGCACCACCGTTTCTTTAGAAACTTACCCCCTTTATTCATTGAAAGTTTGATTGACTTATAATATTTAATTTCTTTTGACAAGGTAATAAACTTTGTCACGGATAAGCTGAATAAATATCGAGAAGAATACCAAGAAAGGGTACAGGAAGAAGCAACGCAAGCATTTCTGAAAGCTAAGACCAATACAACGAAGAAAATGGAACATATGTTGGCGAAAGAAAAGCAGAGTGAAAACTTTGAAACGTTCCATCGCAAAGGAAAAAATCAATAGAGAAAGATTGAGTAAAAGGAATAAAGATCTGTGCAAGGTGAGGTGTCAGTGTTGTATGACATGTGTACTTAAACGTGTCTCTCTCTCAAATTAATATAGGCAATAACATGATTTCGAATGCAATTTGATGTCAATAAGCACGAGAGGCAACAAAATTGTACAAGCCCGTATAGGCAAGTGCAATTTTTAGTCTTTCAAAAATTTACAATGTACATGAAAAAACATCACACAAAGTGAAGACAGGCGAAATTTTGAGAGCGTGCGCGCGCTATTTGTAATTTACAACTCTGTTACAACTTTGCACTCGCGTTACAACTTTGTACTCCAGTTATATGAGAATGCACACGTTTTCAGCGAATCAGAACCGCGTAATTTTTTCGTGTACATTATTATAGTTTGTTTGTGCACGGTTGGCGTGATTTTAACCCTCTTCGCCCAAACATCGGTATGCAAATCCTCCATATTGTTCTTCATACATTTCTCTATAAAGTCCTGACAAGGAGAATTTGTTCACAATCAAGAGTTTCTTTTTTCGGTGATCACTTCCTCTAATTTTTATGGCCTTCATCTTTGATCCAGGGTTGATATTGTTGGGAGAAATTAGATGCCAGTCACTCTTAATGGTTGAGAGTGATATGTTTAAAGATTGTAAGGCACTTAAAAAAAAACATTTGCCACTCAAATGAGGAGTACCTGCAGTGCTCCACGCCTTTTGCGCATGGCCAGGTTACTGTGCTTTTTTCAAACTGGCACCTTCCATAGTTAAGAGTTAAGTAGTTGCGTTAATTTCAAGATTCTTCAACTGTGGTAAGTCGTAGATTTGAACGACGGAGATAAAAATGGTTTTTTTTCTAGATTGTACCTCTCCTTTACGAAATCAAACAGTTATGATAATAACACTGTCTTGTTAGAGGTGGGAAGAGACTCTTAATTTAAGCTGAATCAAAACTTGAGCTTAGAATTGGTGGTATTTAAATATTTGAAAACAACGTTTCAGAGAAATCGTCAGATGTGGGCTCGTGTCAATAACTTGGGTGCAAAGGCTGTGACAAACTTTCCCACTGCCGGTACATCCAGATGTTTGGAGGCAAGAGATGATGAACAGTCATGGAGCACTGTAAGTTAACATATCATAGAATTGCATTTAGGATGACCTTTGTGTTATGACTTGCTGTATGCGGTTATTTTGTTAGAACACTCTTTGATAGAAGAGCCCAAAATTTATCAATACTAAGCAATTGGCTACACTTTCTATTGGTTTATCGGCATGATAACCCACTTGGGGTGCTGGGAAAACATGAGATAAGTTTAAAAGTTTCTTACATCTCTTTCAAATTATACTTTGTTTGTACACAGTTAGTTTGATTTTAACCCTTTCGACGCCCTAACAGCGGTATGCATCTCAATAATTTTTTCTTATATTTCTTCATAAGATCCTGGCACGGAAAATTTGTTCATAACTAAGAACTTATTTTGTTAGTGATAGTTTCTTCTATTCTCATGACCTTCATCTTTGATTCAAGAGGAATTTTGTGAGGAGAAATTAGATGTCAGTCACTCTTAGCGGTAAAGAGTGATCGGTTCAAAGATTTTAAGGTACTCAACCAAAAATCATTTTTGACTCAAAAGATAATTTTTTCTGCGATAACCAGAGCTGTAACTTTGTTTGTTTGTTTGTTTTTTTTTTTTAAATGGCGCCTTGTATGGTGAAGGATTAAGCAGTTAAGTTACTCATTACATTCTCAAGCTGCGGCAAGTTGTAGATTTTGAACGCATACTTGCTGACTACGAAGATGAAAATGTGGTGGTTTCTAATCCTATATCCAATATCTATCCTTTAAGAAATCACTGCCATTACTTCGATCCATAGGCAATGTTGCAATTATCTGTAATGTGCTAGAGGTGGGAACAGACACGGAGTTTAAGTTGAATCAAAACTTGAGCTTAGATTTTAAAATAATCATTAATGTGTTGATACGAAAACAATGTTTCAGAGAAATCGTCAGCTGTGGGCTCGTGTCAATAATTTGAGTGCAAAGGAGGAGAGAAACTGTACGTTTGCTGGTACATCCAGTTGTGGTGAGGCAAGTGGTGACGAGCAGTCATGGAGCACTGTAAGTTTACATATCACAGAACTTCATTTGGGATGAACTTTGTGATATGGCTTGCTGTACGCGGTTACTTTGTTAGATCGCCCTTTGATTTAAGAGACCAAAATAGTGACAATGTCTAAGTAAAAAATTCCTTAACTTTGGAAATTCCACAACTTTTTTAGGATGTGGTTGTTGCTATGGTTATTGTGATCAATTCTGTGATTGGTGGATTTGACCGAAAGAACTAGGTATGATTGGTTGCTTCAACTGTCCGATTACAGCCAGCTGTCCGTTTACACTGTCCGATTATAACTCTACGGAATAATTAGTGAAAAGTAAAGCAGCTACTGCACCAATCACATTTGAGGAAGTTGTAATGGTTATGATTAAAATAAAGAAGTGCAGAATAATACATGGGCGCGAAAGGCGAGTGACGTGTCAGCAGCAGATTGGCGATATCAGACACACGTGGAAAATACGATACTTTTTCACGTGTGTTTTTCCGGCTTTTCTCAGTGCTGGAAATCCTTGATTAATACCGTAGTTTATATGATAAGTATTAACTTCGTGATCGGCCTCGCTCACCATGGAGTCTTTGTGGCTCAGTGGTGTAGCATCGGAGCGTGGAATCCGAAGGTTTGATGTTCGATTCCTCAGAACTCAGAACTCATAATTTTCTCTTTGTCCCACGCTCGTGATAAGACAAAAACAATGTTTCTCTAGGATGTAAAAATGTTCAAACGTTCTGTGCTGAAACTTTTAAATCCCTACTTTTCGTAGCACCGCACTTAGGACAATCCAAGCCTTTCCATAGAAACTGGGGTTTAAATAACTGGGAGGTTAACTATAACCATCACATGCCTGGAATTTTTTTTTCATGATTTTTCTTTGTTCCTGCGTCTTAGGTCTCAGATGAAGAGGAAGCCGTTGAAAGCCCGCCTGAGAGACGACCATCTATTACTTAGAGAACAACAGCTTCTATTTTGTTCTCCTTTATTGTTAAGCTACAACAACTGCGGAATTAGTAAACCTTCTTAACTAGAACCTCCCTCAATTACGCGCCCTCCTCCTTTTTAGTAGAAATTTTGAATTAGCTCCCGGACGCTCATCCGCGGAAGTGCAGTGTATATGTTTGTTTGTTTGTTTTTTTTTTAATTCCTTGGAAATTGAAAAATAAGAAGTATATTCGTATCGTAGATTGGTTTAGTAATACCTGAAAGGTATCGTTGAATATGTGAATGATAATAGAGACTTTCATCGTGAAGAATTAATCAATTACGTTTGAAAAGAGTTTACCCTTCGTCATATTTTCTAGAGTTTTTATTTAGGATAATAATTAATTACGATTTAATAAGGATTGTCCTGGCTGGACGTTAAAAATGCTGATTGTTTCTTGGTGCTGATAGAGTTTAAGGCGTAAAAATTAACTGTTTTGTGACTGTAGTCATTTTTAATTAATGGTATCATAAGTGAGTTATAGATAATAGCTGTATTATAAATATCTAGGAATTTCTATGCTGACTTGTATGCTATGGAACTTTCTGGAATGTAATAATGATGTAATGCTACCAAAATAGTCGTGTTGTAAGCTTCCGGGATTCTTTAGAATGCTTTGTAACTGTACATAAGGACTTAGTCGCGTAGTATGAGTTGTTGTTGGTGTGAAATATTTGTAAAGCTGAACCGAGAGAGGGTTAGAGTGGAATATTGTTCATTCCAAGGAACTTTGGAGAAAACTGTAAGTTTGTCAGTAGTAAAGTTAATAGGAATAAATATTTTTTTGTCAAACTTTTTCTTGTCAAACTTCATTTAGTCTATTTCCGTGCTGACTTTAAATCTGCAATTACTAAATTTGATCTTTTTTTTTTGTAATCATATTCTCATTCTCTCTTGGTCTTAACTGACCCTTAATTCGTTGTACTCGACTTCTTTCGAATAAAGAGACCAGGCGACCTTTCAGAACCACAATTTATCATTAAAATTGTTAATCTCTTCGCTAAGTTATCTCTCCTTGAAAAGGTTTTTGGCTTAGTTTTATCAAACGAGCTTTTGCTGAACTGGAAGGGAGGCACAAAAGCTTTTTAAGCCTCTTTACGTTTCTTATGAACACTTCGAAAGGCGTTATTCTCGAGCTACAAAAATTTGTGGTTTTTCCCTATCTATTTGGGGACTTTAAAGCAGGGGTCTGATTTTTCGTGCTACCTCTAACTACGACTTAAAGGCAGGGGGTAAATAAGGTCTCTGCCACCCCTGTAGGCCTAAAATCTTGGTTTGCCAAGGGGGCAGGGGGACAGGCTAGACTGGACTGTTAAGGAGGGTCTCGTTGGCTTTATGGACCAGACCTCAGTGTTAGTATGAATTCTCCGCATAAGAGATCAGAAAAGGGGGGAATGACTTGCTTGATTGTGTTTTCTCTCCTGCGTATGCCTATGAGTCGTTCGTGAAGTCTTCGTTTGTGTTATCGTCACAAGCTGACTTGAAAGTTTCTTGAGTGCCTCAAGTTTACTCTATACCTTGTTCATAAGAGTAACTCTGTTCTTCATGTTTATGTAGAAGATGTTGAGGCCGTATTTGCTGTCACCCAATCTGCACTTATCTCTTTTTCTTTTAATTCTTTGCCCTAAGTTCTCCAGCAGTGATATTGTTTCCAAGAACCTGCGCGATTTGTTAAGATCATAGGGTCTAATAACAATTTTGGAAAAACCTATTTCCGCGGCCCATTTCCTTTGTCGAGATCACAGCCCTACTCCTAACCATAGTGACCAAGATACTAAGTAAATAATAAAAGTACGAATTTGAGGTTCCTACCTTCTCTGACCCCCCAAAGTGAAAGGGAGGCGAGGTTCCTTTGGTAATGCCAAAACAAAAAAAAATTAAGCTGTATATGTTGTGTAGTGGTCACAAGGTGTACTAATATATCATGCATCCGACTTCAATGCGAGGTTAACAAAATGGCCGAAGATGAAGAGCACACGGAAATTCCCATTCAAATTTCCAGTTTATGATTAAACTGAGAAAAAAAATGGCACAGTCAGACTTCTATCCAGTAATATTTGATATAGTAAATAGCTACACCCGTCATAAAGTCCTGCAGCGTCGCTTTTCCGCTATTCTCCAAAATGGTTACAGAGGGGAAGCCAATTGTCCCTCACAGTGTGCAGGATTGATAATCAAGTTTCTTGGAGAGGACATAGCGGATGGGAATCGTAAAATCAAGGCAGTTTTCAGTACTGCAGCAGCAGATCGCATTGTTATGGAATACACTCAATTATTTTCTGATGCGGCCTACCAAAATAATTTTCGTATCTCCCTTGAAAGCTTACCTTCGGTGGTCAAGGAAATGGGTTACTTGATCTTCAAAGAGAAACAGCATTTAGGCACTGTGGCAGCATTCCTTGGTTTTGGAGCTTCGCTAGCTGCTTACTGTGAGTCAAAGGAGCATTTAGGTGTTGCAGCAATGGAGACTGTTGTGGAATCGATAACACACTATTATTGCCGCCATATTGAATCATGGTTGAGAGCTAACGGCGGGGTGGTAAGTTTAGTTATTTATTAGCGTTGTATTACAAATGTTGCAACTTGGTAGACTACACCTCTTGCTATCTGTTCTCTGATAGATAATGAGCCAGAAGGGTGGCCTAACAATGTGCGGCTGTTAAAAAAAATTAAATAAATACATGAGCCTGTCTTGTTGGATAGCAATAAGTAGATTTATACTGAAACAGTTTGATTTTGAACTGGAAATCTCTCTGCATGATAGTTTATGTAAGATTCTCCCTTATCAATTATTTAACCCTTTTACTCACAAGAGTGACCAAGACAGGATTTCTACTCACAATTTCAATACTATATCAAGTACACAAGTGATAAGAATGGGGAAAAATGCCACAGAGGGGATACCAAACTCACTCTCTGAGCTATCATCATGAGAATTACAAGGCAGACAGTAAGGAGAACTTTTACAGAGATCTTGGGAATGAAAGGGTTATCAAATAGATTTCATGTTGTTGTGTGTCTGTTCAGTAATAGATCACAGATGACATGAAAATGTGGTAAGAACAAAAAAGGGCACCTAGGCCCAGCTGAGTTTGTCACCTATGTCCTTACCACATTTTGATCTTTTACTGTACAGACCCATGGCAACATGAAATCTGTTTGTTTCATAAGATAGAAATTAAAGCAAAACGTAGTTTATGGTGACAATTCATATAAAATACATCTGTCCTCCAATAGGTTATAATTTAGAACTGATCAAAATTTGCACATAATTTAGCTTACCATTTAAAGGCTGTAACATGCAGTAAAAATCTCAAGCTTGAAATTTAATTGCTAAATTTACTTGATATATATGCAAATATACAAATAATTGCCAACCTGAATGAACAATTTCAGTAGACAATTATGACAAGAATTACTCTGAAGTTTACATTTTCCTTTCTTTGTGATCAGAGATGAATAGACTTGCTTCAGGTAACATGCATGTAAGTTTACAACCTCAAAGCAACCCTCCGTTTGTCTAACTCTTGTCACATGTTTTTTAACCCTTTACCTCCTAACATCAGTATGCATATTCTCCATACCGTTCTTTATATATTTCTAAAGAGGCTGACAAGGAGAATTTGTGTAACAGTCAAGAGCTGCTTTAGTTAGTGATCATCTCCGCTATTCCCATAACTTTAATGTTTGATTCAGGGGTGATATTGAAAGGAGAAACTAGATGCTAATCACTCTTTGGGGCTAAAGGGTTAATAATAGTATAAAGTTGCAATTAATAATATGTACTTACTGACTGATTGAGAGGACTGGATGGTAAAATATTTGGGTCAAGATCACCATGTCCTGCAGAAAGAGGGCAGCAAGGTCTGTGTGATACCACTGAAAGCCAAAGATTGTATTAAAGGGATGAAGGATTTTCATTTAGCCTTATAAAATTATTTCGTGCTACAATACCACTTGAAACCATAGAGACTTTGTCCAGGGGTTTTAAAGAGGGACTTGCATGTATTGCTTGCCTTTTACCAATGTGGTGAACAAAGGAAACATGAAGTGTCAAGTTCATTTCTTATTCCTTTTGTTTTATCCATCGTATTGTTTTTTGTGACCAAGGTTAATTTAGGCTAGGCTTACTTTCCTGAACTGTGCAGGTTCTTCTTGTGCTTCATTCATGGACTGTGCAGTTTAACTGCATTATACTTGGACAGTTTACATGGCATGAGCCCTACTGTAGCTAAGCTTTGACAAGAATTAATCTTTGTGAACCTTTTATTAGAAAATTTTCTATTTCGATAAGAGGATGAAAGACAGCTCTCCAATACTGTCTCACACAGTATTGTTTAGCAAAATGGAGATATTGATCAAGTTCTTTCCCAAACTCCACGTGGAACTTTTTGATTTTGGACATAAAACTTGGTGATTGCTAGGCCAGTAATGCCAAATTTGTTCAGTTATTTCTCATTTTTTTAGTTATTTTATACTTTTTAAAAGTTTTAGGGGTTTGAAAGTTCTTTGGTTGTTAAAACTTTGGATGTTACCTTACTGTGGCATGAAATTTTTGTCACCGAAAAATTGCCATTTAGAATGAAATTTTTCTTTAACCCCTAAGAATGATAAGCATCTAATTTCTCCTAACAGTTTCTCCCTTGAATCAAACATTATGGTCATGAGAATAAAGGAAATTATCACAAACTTTTGATTGTTAGACAAATTCTTCTAGCAACTACCAATGGAAATATATAGAAGAGTTTGGAGAACTTGGAGACTAATCTTAGGGTGATAATGGTGATACAGCATTGAGATAGCCATTTTCTCTAAAAGGCTACCATTTTTTTTATTTTATTTATTAATTGTTATCTTAATATTTATTTATTTGTGATGTTAGGACATGCTTCAGTCAGCCAGAATGGAGAGCCAAGACCACTTTGCTCAATCTAGAAAGAGAAAGGTAAACTTTTCATACTCATTGAAGCTTATGGCAGAGCAAAGTTATCAGGCTGATAATCCACAATTTTACATTGAGACTTGTCAACTTATTCTACAACTCCAACATCTGCTGCAAATTGATTCATCTGAAACTTGGTTTGATTATGGTATGTTTCTCTTTGGAAAAGAGAATTTTCTTGAAGCTAAAAATGCCCTGGAAAATGCCATCAAAGGATTTGATACACATGGACTCTCCACCCATTCGTCTTTCCTAGGACAGTGTCATTTTCAAGTTGGTGTCATTGATAGTCACCTTGGACACTTCTCGGAAGCTGTGAAGTGTTTCCAGAAAGCATGTAAATTTAAGATTATGGATGGAAACACAAAGATGTCATCTGCCATTTGCCATCATTGGCAAGGTTATGTGTACAGAAGAATGGAAGACTTCAACAAAGCACTTGAGGCTCAAAAGAGAGCTTTAAAGGAGATGGAACAAAATACAACAAATGATTCCTCAAGGAGGTTCCTTGGTGATGTGTACTTAGAACTAGGCTGCATTCATCATGAATTTGGAAATATTGAAAATGCTGCCAGCTTTCTGGAGAAGTGTCTGTCCATACATGAGGAACAAGTGGGTTATTTTAAACCCAAACTTCAGTTGTACATTCATCTGGCTCAGGTTCTGCATGAAAAAAGTATTAAATGCTCTGAATCAATAGATGAATGGACACAACGAACTCTCTCTTTGCTTGAGAAAGCTGTAACATTGTGTCTGGAAAATTCTCACAATGGACACTTTCATGACAAGTTTCCAGTGGTTATGTTTGCGCACACAGACCGTATTGAAAAGCTGGAAGATATTCTTCCCTTGGCACTTAAACTTTGTTCATCTCTTTCTTCTGTCTTTGGTGAAGAGAATGAAACAGCTAAAAAGAGATTAAAGAAGATACAGAAAGATTTTGAGTACTTGCTGAGCACTCTTGTAAAAGCAGCACACCAAGACCAGCATCCTAACTCACTTGATGATGGATCAAATAGGTCAGTACTTGTCATTAAATGACATTTTGTTTGGTTTCTTTGGCATCTATTTTTCCTTGGTGCAAGGAAACTAGACCTTTTGAACAGGGTAATTTGGTATGAGGCTCTAAACATCAGCTTTGAAACTCTTAACAGTAGTTAATTTTTGTTCTTAACTCAGTTGATGATACCAAATTACCCTGTTATACTCTCCTACCAACGCAGCACCAGTTTCTTTAGAAACTTACCCCCTTTATTCATCAGACCCATAAACTTAATAGGTAGTTAAAAAAGCAGGTGTGAAAAATTGAAAGAAAAAAAATATTATGAAGTTTCAATTTTTCTAACTTTTTTATTATTTGAGTACTGTTAATATGCCACAGCATTATTCTAACATTACCCTACCCATTGTACATGCAGCTAAATATTTCTTTGTTAGTCTCTGTTTGGACTTAGATCATGTGATTTGGTTATCTGTAATAGCTACACTGTCGTCCACTTGTTTCCCAGGAGAATAGTACTTACCAGGAATAACTGTGGCCATTGTGTCGCAATACACAGTACACAATACAAATTGATGGCAAACGGGAAATTCAAAGCTGTGTTTCTTGTACCAAGAAATCTACCATGAAAGTTTACTATGATAAAAGTCATCGCTTTCAATTTACAACTTACTTTGTTCCATTCTGGGAGACTTGACAAAGATACTTTTACTTACAAATGTAGATTAATACTGCACTAAAAATATTGTAGAAACAGCCGTTAAAGGTGGACTTATACTGAATAGAAATGGAATGTACGACTGTTACTAATGGCTCAGCTGCTGAATGATTGCTGTTGCTGACAGATTGTTACTTGATTTTGGTTCATGATGTACATTATTAGCCTGTTCCGTGCATTCAGTTAGTGAAACGGAGCGAAGTAGTAAATGGCCCGATCTCTTCGCCCTGCTCCAATAGTAGCGGCAGAGCCAAAATCAAGGAGGTTTGGGTTAAGTCACTCACCGCAACCCGACCCAAGCCTCCCTCGTTATTTCACTCCTCTAAGACCATTGTACTGCAACGCTACAGACCATCCTGCTATTTATTATCACGGTGTGTTTCACCGTGCTAAAGGCCTGGAACAAGGTAGACGAACCGGTTGAAGCGGTTTTTTACAATATTGCAGTAGTGTCACTTCCTTCTGGTGTACATGGACGTGTGTTTCTTTATCTACGTGTACAGTTGCTGTAAAAACACTGCTATAAAGTGTTAAAACTCCCGGCCACAAGTTTTCGTGAGACTTATAACTGTAGCTTTTTTCACAGAGGTGAGGAATGTGATCAGCATCAACCAAATGAACGGCGCAGAGAAGCGGAGAAAGGTGAAAGAATTTTCTTTTACGTATTAGGGAAATGTTGACACAAACACTCTTTCTACTTACTCTTAACAAGGAATTCTACTGCAACTTGTGCTTGTTATGGTAGGTTCATGTTTGTTTAAGCTAACTTGAGTTAGATCAAGCATAAGCCTTAAGGGAGTAATGTGATCTTCATTAGGAGAAGTTCAGGCGATACTTGTCTGAAGACATGTGACATGTCACAGTGACATGTAACATTGGTCACATGTGACACGTAACGCTGGTCACGTGTGACATGTAACACTGGTCACATGTGACATGTCACAGTGAAATGTAACACTGGTCACATGTGACGTGTAACGCTGGTCACCAGTGGGTGACTTACTTGAAGTTTTGTCAATGCCCTTCATGTAAATCAGCGCTCAAGAAACAAAACTTTTGTCAGTTTACTGGTCGCACTTTTGAAACTGGTGGTCGATCACGAGCAGGAATATATTTTAAAGCGTGAAACATATGTGAAATTTCGCGTTTTATGTCGCTGTGAGCCGAAAATTAATTTTATTTTATTATTCTATTTTGGCGTCCAAAATTTTCTCACTTGACGATCGAAACACAAATCGGGGTCCGAGTATAAAAGTTAATTTAGACTATTTAACGATTACACCACCTTGTCTCCCTCTTCAAATTTACTTGAGTTTTCACTGTTTGTCTTTGTAGTGGTTCCTCTAGAGATCCAAGCGCGTGGACGTCTTGCTTTGCAAGCCTACAACAAGGCCCTTATCGAAGGGAACACCTGCGTGAGAAGAGTGCCGATCATGTTGATTGGTCAGGATCATTCAGGAAAGACCAGCTTGAAAAATTCACTGACGGGGAAACGTTTTAATCGGCGGATGGATAGCACGGTGGGAATTGATGTCGATTCATCGCATTTCAAAGTGACAACTGAACTTTGGAAAACTGGAGTGAAGAGTGAAGTAATCGATTCTGTCGCAGCACTGTCTTGTGAACACCATGCCGGACGCCTTGCTGTAGAGATGTTGCGACAAGACAATAGTGTCCCTATGGAAAATTTTAAAGAGTCTGCTGAGTCAAGAAATGCTCCTTTGGTGGACACTCATGAAACAAACGAAGATCCCGCCTCCGTACCTTCACATGTTCCAGTTGCTGATACGCAAAGTCTGGTTGAGCTTTCTAGCGTCGTGGCAAATCCAGGCAGTGACGAGATGTCGAAAGATGCAGATCCTGCTCAAACACCCAGCGGTGAAGAAAGCAGTAACAAAAATAGCACGAACGCATCTGTTTGGGTTGAACCAAACCTAGTACAAAGACAAAAAAGGGACTTAGTTCCTCTCGTCGAACCCCTTAAACCAGAGGAAATAGTGGCGTTAATCGAAAGGTTACTAAAAGATGTTAAGTATGAAGAGGACGAGGAGGAAATATATTCGGTGTTATGGGATTTTGGAGGACAGTCAGTCTATTATGCAACGCACCCAATCTTCCTCACTGCCAGAGCGATGTATCTTCTAGTTTATGACCTCAGCCGTGATCCACACCAAGTAGCCAAACCAGTTGTGAGGCAAGGAACGTTCAGGAAATTCGAAGACAGCTTTGGAGCAAAAACCAATTTGGATTATTTAGATTTTTGGATGGCTTCCGTGGCGTCTTTTGGCGGCACAACTGAGAGTTGTGAAGTCATCTCTCATTGTGAGGTATTGCCAGAGAAACTGCCCCCTGTGTTCTTGGTGTGCACCCATGCTGACCAGCCCCACGGTGGCAGAATTCCTAGCGCATTAGCCCAAGAGATTTTTAGTTCTTTACAGGCTAAGCCATATAGAACCCACCTCTTTGATGGCGTGTTTGCTGTGGATAACACTAAATCAGGTCTTGAAATTGAGTGCCCAGAGGTCACACGTTTGAGAAAGGAAGTACTTGCTGTTGCTAAGAAACTGCCACAAGTGAAAGAAGCCATTCCAATCAAGTGGTTGAACTTTGAAAGGGCGTTGAAAGTCGCCAGGGAACAAGGTCAGAAGTGGATCACACTGGAAGGGGCAAGGCAAATCGCTACTCACGTATGCAAAGTTGTCGATAATAAACAGTTCCAGGCATTATTGAACTTTTTCCACGACCAGAGGATTTTGATCCACTTTGATGACACACCAGAGTTGAATAAAATGGTGATTTTGGATCCCCAGTGGTTAACTGATGTGTTTAAGAAGGTCATAACCATTAGGCCTTATAGCAATCAGGAGGAGGAATTCAAGGAGCTATGGTTTAAACTCGAGGCAACAGGAATCCTGGAAGAAAAACTTTTGAAACATCTCTGGGGTCCTCTGTTTGATAACAAAGAAACAGTTGAGAGCCTTGTTGCTCTGATGGAGAAATTCAGTTTGCTTTGTCCGTGGCTATCATCAAGTACTTCCCCTGGGAAACACTACCTAGTTCCATCCATGCTAATGTCCCATCCACCAGAAGACATCATCAAGCTCGTCGCTTCTGCGCAAATTCCCTCACTTTTTGTTAAATTTGAATCTGGTCAAGTCCCACCAGGGTTGTTCCCTCGTTTAGTGTTGCAGTTCTTTCAATGGGGAAAAGATGGCTTATGGAGTCCAGTTAATCCACAGTTGTACCAAAATTTTGCCAGATTCTACAAAGCTGGAGAGGAAGACTGCTCTGTAATCCTACGTTGTCACTCTTCTTCTGTCGAGATCGTTTTTCACAGAGCGAAAGCAAATTTTGGGTTGACAGACAGTTTGCAGTCAATAATGAACTTGTCTACTGACTTGGGGCATGACAGCTATGATGTGGTTTGCGCTCTTAATATGCATAGACAGGTGGTGTTCATTCTCGAATCAATGCGCAAGGAGTTCTGTTGGTTGACGAATATGAAGTATGATTCATGTGTTATGTGCTCAGTATGTTGTCGAGGAGGCACAACTAACTTCTGCCGTATTCACCGTGTCCAAAGTTGCACTCAAGAGGAGTGTCTGCATTTCTGGTCAGAATCGCAGCTACTTAGTGAAAAGCATATCGTTGTTTGCACACGGTCTGCTGTTGCCCTGAATAACAGAGTTCACGTCAACCAGTTAGCACCATGGTTTGCATACGTAGATGAACAGGTGAGCTTTACGTGTGAATCATGATTTACACTCGGTAATTACGTTTGGCTTCTATGTAACATTCCGCCGAAACTCCTCCATTTGCGAAAAGGTTATTTTGGATCAATGTTAGTGTCTGCGCAATTGCGCACCTTCCCCCCCCTCCCCAACAACAGTCAACTGATAACAATGTAGGATTAATGTTGGGTCAGGGGAGGGGAGGGGAGGGGAGGGGAGGGGAGGGGAGGGGATGGTATGCAGTCCCTTAGACTCTGGCATTGATCCATTGTTTTCGAAGGATAGATACATTATTTTCGTCCGAGTTGTTACTTCCTAAATTGTAGGGATAACACTATCCACTGTCAAGAAAGACGGCTATTATATTTATTGGTTCCCCTCCTGATTTTTTTGTGACAGGTTGTGACTGATGAACGTGACAGTACACACGTGGATGGTAAGTTTCGCCTTACATCCCATTGTAGCGTGTAGTTTGGATCAGTTTTTCGTTTTTCTTTTGCCTCGGCACTTACTTATACGCATGGAATTCCTGATTTGAGTGATTTACAACAACAATACAGTTCAAAAACATTTCTTCAAAACTGCTTTAAGATCGGTTTGTTTGGTAGCTGACTTTTAATTCTTATATTCTTCTGGTGTGTTTTTTTTTTGTTTTTTTTTGGAAACAACATTTACAGCATGATGGTTAATTAACTGTACAGAAAGGCGATTAATTTCCATAGCGTTTCGTGGGAAATGTTGGTTGAAACCTTATGGACACTTGGGTTACAAATACAAAATCTAGACCTCGCAGCAGTTGCTTCGAGCAATTTGATGTCGGTAAATTTTACGTTAGGGGGCCTACCTTTTTTTTTTTTTTTTTTTTTTTTTTTGAGATATTTTGAGTATCCGTGATCATAGTGTTTGATATAACTTCTAAGACTGAAAACCCTGTCAACACTTCTCTTATTTCACTCCACCAAATAGTATGTTGATTAAGAGTTTTTACTCGTAGAAAGTGGCGAGAAATTCGTGGCGCTTCCTGGAAAGGTTGTGGAATCACTTTTGTCACGATCATGTGACCCTAAGGAGATTATAAGGCAATTAAGTGAGGAACTGCAGCTGAACCTTGATTCTCTGAAACGCCCGGAGCCTGAGACTATAAGAATGATTCGATGCCTGGCAAGGAAAGCTAAAAGTTCCAACAGGTTTGATGTGGTGAGACATTTGAGGGAAATTACGCCAGCTGGTACTACTGGTGAGTGTGAAAGTTGCAAAGTATGTTCTATTAAGTTGTATTAAAGTTCACAAGGCAACCAGGTGAACAATCAGACACGGTTTGATGCTACTCTGGGTCTATGAATTGTATCCTCTCGGTTACAATCATTAAATCTTTAAACCGGAGTAGCATCAAACCATGTCTGTTAAATTATTTGATACGGTGTGATTTCTTGAATGCCTTATTTATCCAGATACCAAGATTTCAGTGAACACCTTTTCTCTCGTGTTACAAAATGATGGTGACACTAAGAAGTATGAGGACTGAAATATGAATAGATGATCACAGTGTGTCGCTCACCAACTATTTTTCTGTAGACGATTCCTAGTCTTTCTTCCGCCCACCTGACAATACAATTACAATAACGTCTCTCTTTCATACGCGAAAAAGCTTTACACGTTCTTAATTTAAAGCTGCTATATTTGTGTAAATGACGATTTTTATTCTTATTGTTGCCTTTGTTTTGATTTTGTTTCGCCATCCCTTTTCATCTTCTGTCAGGTCCTATACTGTCTGAACAGCTTGATGTGCGGAATGTTCCAGTTACTCACATGAGAAATCTTACCATAGACTTGAGTGGTAAGGAAAATGGATTTGCAATAGGCGTCATATTCTCGTATCCACTTTTTTAGATTTTTATCTGATCAGAGGAAAGCGAAATAAAGTTGAATTCATCAAGATGCAGTGTCTCCGCGATTCCATGAATCGATCATTCCCGTGAACAAGGAAATTTACGGATATATTTGTCGTTGTGTTTTGTTATTTTTGTTGCTTTTGTCTGTTTTAGAGTAGTTTTCAACTGATTGACAAAAGTAATTTAATGCTTTGGTTTTGCTTCAAAACAGTTGCGCGGCGCTACTTTCTCAACCAATCAGATGCAAAACTAAAACCAATGACTACTTGGTCGTTCGCGTTTCCTTCGCTTTAGGTAGTGTGGTTGGCTTTACTTTGAGTTTTCATTGGCACTTAAAAATATTTTTTTTTCTTCTTCTTCTTCGTTTGGTTTTGGTTGGGCGAAACTCAATTGGAAAGTATTCTTATGTGAACTTACTTGACGCATTACAAGTGGATAACATTTCCCTGCTCTATTTTGAAGTTTTGGTCAGTTTGAATTAATCCTCTTCTGCATGATTCATATCCGCGTGGAGCAGTTGTCTTTTTCAATTGCAACATTTTGGAAAAGGGAAAAAATAATCATCTAACAACTTTAAAAAATATTCAAAACAAACTGAAAGTTTCGTTTGCTCTTTCAGGCAGTGATGAGTGGAAGGTAGTCGCTGAGAAACTTGGGCTGACTCCCAGAGAGATTCGTTTCCTTGACAACCGAACGCTTAACCCATGTGATGCTGCCCTGGGTTTTATTGCTAACCGGCGACACATAACTGTGGGTAGTCTCTACGACGTCTTGATCGAGTGTGGGTGCCCTGTGATTGCTGACGACTTGTAATGAGACAGACCCAAAAGAAACTTTCCAATTGTGACTCTCTGTGAGACTGTACATGTTACATATTACTACTAGTGACTGAAACAAAACGATTTTTCCGTAGAGCGCTCATATCCCTCAGGTTCAAGGCGCTTTACAAAGATATGTTGACTGTTATTTAAAAGAAAAAACTAGAAATGAAAAAACGACATGGTGTCCTACTCAATCGCAAATACTCACTCGTTTGCGAAGAATCAGAAAACTGACTAGTTTTTACATATTTCTGCTCTATGAGCGAACATTTAGTTTTCAGAATTTCTCTTCCTGGACACTCAACCCAAGTAGACAAGTAATTCGGGTTCTTTTAATGGAGCCCTTGTGACCTGACCATTATTCTCTGGTCTTATCTTGGACTTAAAATGTAGCAGAAAACCAATCTTAAACTGTTTCACACTTTAATAAAAACAACGTTTTTACACTGGATTCATTATATATTTGACGATAGTACACTCCTACAACACGAAAACCGACTGGATGGTCTAAGAGCACGATGACATAGTACAAAAGTACAAATAGAACATTACTACTCTGAAAATGTTTACTAACGGCAATCCGCTGGCAATAAATTCACAACATGCTATAAATAAAATTTGAGCAAAAGGGTTTTGGTGTACTTTTGAATGTCTCAAATAGAAAAAAAAGTTTCTACAAGGTATTCCGACTTATCGTAGGCTGGATTTTCAACGATGTCTTGAGTTCGGTCTTCAGTGACCCCTCCTAAAAAGGAGCAAGGAAAAGGAAAATTTTAAGGGGGAAGAGATGGAGGACCGTTTCATTTTCTCGAAAATCGGCTTGTTATCGAGCCTAGACTTATCGTGCTCCACACGCGTTTTTACGATAATTTAACATAGGTTAAATTGTGAACTATTTTACATTACTTATGAGGTTTCATTCGCCTTTTGTGGCTTGTGAATTTAATCACGAATTTTCCTTACCAACTAATTTCACGACAGATAACTTTTTGTTCAGCATTGGAAATCAATCCCAAATTTTCCGAGTTTTTTTTCAGGCCAAATGGTTAGAAACTTGGTGAGAATTTGGGTTTGTATACCACAAGTGATACTGAGTTGTTTGTTTTGTTTTTGAACTTCCTCATGCCGGTTCCGGAATTCTTGATAAGAAACAGTTTTAATTTCATGCATCGACATCGCTCTTGTATCCGCCAACCTCGTTCAACTGTATAAAAAGGACCTAGAAATCGGCTCCTCTGTTGTTATTTGCACCTGGGTAAGAAAAGAGACCGCCAACAATCAATATTTTGATTCAACAAAGTGATAAGCATTGATAGGCTGGTTTGGATAGAGAGCTAGTCATGCACAATTTCTCTCTGCACTGATCCAAAGCTTGCTTAACAAGCAACAAGACAAGCAAGATAAAACGGACAACGAAGGATGATGAGGGTGGAAAAAAAGACGCTCAAACAGAATTTATACAATCCAAAACGAATGGAGAATAAAACCTTACGGTTTGAAAAGTACAAGCGATGAAATATTATTCAGAGAATACACGGTAATGAATTTCTTAAATGAAGAATTGTTCCTAATTATTTTCTTCGTCCATAGCAACTCACCTGGATGGTCTTTGTCCCGAATAAATTGACCCCGCTCGTTCATTTCCACGTCCTCGCGACTGTTACGCTGAGGGTCTGGTGAGGTGGAGGGTGAAATTTTCCCAGCTCCTCGTTTCTTCTTACAGCAGTACACAGTGATGGCGATGATCACAATCAAAGCCACTCCCCCACACACGCAGGCTACGATGATTACAGTCGTATTATTGGATTCACTTTCAGTTGGAGGAACAGCAGCAGTTGTAGTAACAGTAGTTACTAAGGTGGACTCGAACGAACTCTGGTCAGCGGAAATCACCTGGCCATTCGGCAGTGTGATTTGAAAGGTACCTGCCTTGACTTTTGTTTCAATCTTGGTAATTTCTTGCAGTATGCTGGCAGTGGTCTGACCTTTTTTGGGCACCGCGACAAAGTCCACCACTATACTACCAGCTGTCAAGCTGAAATCCTGTATACTGCATTCATCCAAGTTCGATGAGTCAGTAAGGGCTTTAATAATGTTCGCTTCGACAGCTGCCTTCTGGCTGTCGTTTCCAATTATGCTGCTATATGACACGTTGAAAGCAAACTTGACGTTGACACCTGAGCTCTTTGGTTCCAGTTCACAAGCGGCAGTAGTTGGTGCAGCAGTGGTTGGGGCGGGAGTGGTAACTTCTTCCCTCTTTGGGCCAACAAACGCACTTAGGTATCCCAGTGTCGTACAGTTGCACTCAACATAAGTCACATTACCTGATATCACAGCGGAACGACCTGATACACATCCAGTTGTAGTCCAGTTTGATTCACCAGAGCTCCACAACTTGCACTAAATAGCAACAATACAGAATGCGTGAATCACTACAACATCAATACTGAGCTCACTAGTAAATTTTGATGTTTGTAGGAAGAGAAATGTTTTTTTTTTGCGCTTTCCGAAAGTCATTTCTTCTGTTTCGTGCTTCAGATAAGCGAGTGGTTCCAACTTATCAAAGCCCAAAGCCATTTCGTGGACTCAGAGCTTGTTTGCATTTTTTAGCAAAACGTTCAGGAAATCATAAAGACTTGTTCCAAACCATTATTTTCATTTCCAAGACTTATGGTCATGATTCAAATCACATGGCGCAAGTATAAAAGCAGTTGAAATTCTCCGATGGCGATAAGCGTTCCCACTATGTGGAGAATAGAGAATTTTTCCGAAGTCGCAATAACAATTTTTCAAATTTCCATAACTTTACAAGGATCTAGACTTTGCTCTGACCCTGTATTTAGGATTGCTGGCCCGCAATTGTAGCACTACGTATAAATTGCCTCTGAACCAAATGGTGTTGTAAAACCAAGACCGATGTAATTACATGTACATTCGTCAAACAGAGCAAAGTAAAATGTCAAGGGAAGCCAATAAGAACACAGAGAAAAAAAATTTCTAAGCTGCCCAGAGCGCGGGAAACACGAGTCACCTAGCCGTGATTGGTTAATGCATCTGAATGGTTGAAAGTTAAGCGCCAGTTTTCTACACCAATCCCACTGCGTAAAAATTCCTGGATTTCTCTTCATGATGCATTTAAAATTGCTCTATCCCCTGGACTGTTTCCTGTTACTCTATTCAAACTCACCTCTGCAGAATTCGTGCTTTCATTTGGAAACACTTTTCCTGGTTGCAGCGGAATCAAGAACATAACCGGCTCAGCTAAAGACCCGACGGTAACCTCTCGAAATGTGGTTGGGTTATACAACTTCACATCGACGATATCAGTTAGCCGAGAAGAGTCAGTTTGATTGTACAAAAGATCTTCAGGGTACTGGTATGGAGGGAAAGAAAATCAACAAGTATTAGAATAGGTTATTTGATCATTAATTACAAATCTCAAGTTCAAGAAAAGTCTGTCACTTTTATTTTCACACGGAGGGAAAGTTAAGGGTTTGGAAACAAGTGTATACTTTTCTTCTCCTCGTGCCAAGAACACCTGAAACACGAAAAGAAACCTGATTTTTCTCGAAAGCAATGCAGAGAGTGGGTGCATTTCTTAGCCAATTAGCTAATCGTATTTTCATTGCAGAGGTCGTGAAATTAGCTTCTTAATATTGATCACCGAAAGTTAAACCCACCTGAGTGGAGAGAATACAAGCTCCACTGCACGTTTCTGAAGACGAACAGCTCCAAGACTTGTACGTCGCTTCCAGAGTCTTTCCCAGAGTCATCTTGGCGGTTTGCTTCACGTACGTGGGACAGTCTGAACACGCCATGTTTATGCTAACGTCGTCTATACCGGCGAAATTCAATGTTTCAGCGCGCAGAGTGACCATGTTTGTTCTAGCGAACGCAGCCGGAGCGCCGGTGCCTTGGCCAGCGCACACCTTCAGTCCGATTGAGTCTACGAGATTTAAGAAGTCGCTCTTCCGGGTTGATTCTTCCAGCGTGAAGACATCTGGAGCGATGAGGTTCGACGGAGGTCTAAGAGTGGTCTCAGCCTGAAAAGTGTGGGGAATAGTAAGGATGAAAAAACTGGATGAGATAAACCTCTTACTAAACGAGTTCTAGATACGTACTGAGTCTGAAGCAAACTAAAGAGAAAATCTAAATGTGTGATGGAAGGTGGAGTTCATTTTTCGTTTGATCAACAAAAATCTGAATTAAGAGAGGTTAAAAACCTGGAAAATATTGCATGCACTAGCCCGCAGTTGTATATAAATTCAAAGCCAAAAATTGCATCCACTGTTGGTTGAAAGAAAAAAAAAGCAAGTAAAAAACTTCTTTCGACGAGTGAACCGTTCTAAAATAAAAACAAAGCCACCGAAACCATTGGAAGAACACGCGACTGAAACACACGTAGAATGGAAATCTTCACAGTTACATTCGACTCGGGATGAAAAACTTTGATTGAGTCCTCACCTCATCACCAGTCAGTGAATCCACATCGAGAATCTCATTCTCAACCGCTCGTCGTTTCCTTCTAGATTGCGACGAAACAATCGTGTGCAACTTTTTAAACAAAGAAAAGAAATTGTTCTTGGTGGAGTCATCGAACGCGTCGGCACCTCCTTCCGTTGTTTTCCCCATGGTAGACAAGGCATTCATCTCTGCATCTTTGTCGCCCGAAACCGCTTCCAGCGCATTAACAGCCTGTCGTGAGAATGACTACAATCAACAAAGCACCTAAAGAAATTTGCCAGCTGGGGGTCCAATGCTACAACTGCTTATCCTACAGGATACCTGGGGTTGCCTCTTGGACTTTACAAGGTTTCCCTCCTAGTATCTATTCGTACTCCTGAAATTAAAGAGGCTCATTGACAGTAGTTTTGCCTCTAGAGAAACTTGTCCCTATCACGACTCGAACCTAACCCGCCCTTCGATCAGGAGTCCAACGTGCTACCTACTTAACCCCCGTGTTTACTAGATTTGCAGCCAATACAAACCCAATATGGCTGGTTCTGAATTTGCAGCGTCCTCACCTGGTCCATGCTTTACCAGATATATGATACACTAAGCATACACAATACTCACCATCTGAGTATATTGCTGTTTAATCGCGTTCAGAGATGCTTTCACTTCATCACTCGCATTGGCACCGGTGCTTAAGACAGCAGACAGTACGGTATTCATTGTACCTAAAACAGCAATATTCCTGTTAAACAACACTTATCTCCTGTCTAAATCTTCTTGGCCGGAAATTGCTATCCCGTGGGTGCAGAAGTATCAAATTCAATCTACAAACAAAACGCGCTAACAAATTGGCTTCTCGCCTGTTGTGACACTTTCATCCACATTGCTGAAGCCACACTCCTTTGCCCTTCCCCCTCTTGTCCTCCGCTGTACCACCCTCCTCTTCACCTCTACTACTCTCCTCTCCTTTCTTTTCTCTCCCCCCTCCTCCTCTCCACTTCTGTTCCACCCTCCTCTTCCCTTTCCTACTGTCCTATCCTAACCTCCTTTGCCTTTTTACTCTTCTCTTTACCAGTCCCCTCTCCTTTCCTTTCTCTCCCCACTCCTGTCCAACCCCGTTCCACTCTCCTTTTCCCTTTCCTACTGTCCTGTCCTAACCTTATCTGAACTACTCCTCTTCTCTTTCCCACTCCTCTCTCCTTTTTTTTCCCTCCCCTCTCCTGTCCTCCTTGGTTCATCTGCCCTTTCCCACTCCCCTCCCGTTTCCTTTCCTTTCCTTTCTTTTTAATTTTTCTTATCTCTTTATTCTCTTCTCCCAGTCCTTTCCTATCTCCCTTTGCTCGGCGACGAGAAACAGAAACGAAGTCACTTAAAAGCATCACAAAAATCTCACCTAATTGATTCTCCAAGTCTCCGCTTTCCTCTAGACTCGTTGCAGAGTTCTGTAAATCTTGAAGATCGCCTAGTGAAAACACTTTAGGCAAAACCTGAACAGTCTTCTCGGTCATCACACTGGCCCCAAATTTGTCAAAAACCCGTACAAACACTCGGAGGGTATTGTTGTTGTTCTCGTCGCCTGTAATCCAAAACAGATTTAAACATAACGATGACTCCTTCCTGTATCCTCTTTATTAGTAGCCAAGGTTTACAGTGACAGAATACTAAGAGAGACTGTTCTAAACAAGAAAAGGTAAATCAAGCTCTTACTTGAAACATTTTTCTTTAATCAAAAGATCAGCCCTAAATATGACGTATGTAATGTAAGGAACCTTCAGTTACTACTTTCAACAAGTGATGCACCGATCAATTCGAAGCATAAACATCCCCCGGGCAACCCCCGGGCATTTGAACTTTTGATGATTGGTTTGTTCAAATTCCGCCCCCTGGGGCAAAAATTGTGTTCAAATGCCCTGCCCAAGTGCCGGTCTTGATGGTCAATTTTTTGGCAAAACACTAAGACAAAATCAGCAACTGTGACTTCCTATTCATTTACCAAGCTTTGGAAACTACACCTTGCAGACGAAATCATGAAGGCTTTTCCAGTTCAAATTCTTTACCCCAGCCAGACAGTGTTCAAATTCTCCACCCCCGGGGCATGGACGACGGTCAAATGCCCGTGGGAGTAGAGATAATAGCTTCCTAAAAACGCGCACAAAAAGTTACTTAAAAACCCCTGTTAAAGTGAATGCTTCAAAAAGTTGTCAATGTGGCTGAGATATTTACTTGCCCGTGCACTCTCTCGTATCACAAACCTTGTGGAAGGGTAACCTTTCTCTTCTTTCGACGATTTGGTAAACTTATGACGGAAGCAAATTCCTCCCCGTTAATAAGTTCATAATACCCGAACTGGTAGGTCAGGGGATAGTCGTCTGGATCGTCACTGAACTGATCTGCTCTTAAAGTGAACTCCGTATCCAAGACTGTTCCACTTGCAGGGGTCACTTCAAAAGTACCTGACACAGAACATAACATAGACACAGTCCACACCTCATTTTATGGCAATCGACGCCAATTCGCATTGACGGTACTCTTATGAAAGTCATAGAGATGATGTCAAAAAAAAATTTTTTTAAACCCTATTTTGCACTACACTTAAATTACTTACGATACATTGTAAGTGTTTGTAATTAAATGTAATTACTTACGAACTACAGATGCATATAATACAATATACACACTACCTATGATACGATATCTACTAACAAATAATAACATTACCAAAACTTCTTACATAACAATTACGGATTTTATAATTACAGTTAAATTGCACAGATGATATCAAAACTCAATTTCGAAACTAGCGTTTCATAAGACGCCCTCAATTATTTTTTTGTTCTGAGACGGATTAATTGTGACTGTACCCACCTACTAGTGGCGGACCATTTACAGTGAACTCTGTTTCTGAATACGAACTGCAAGCAGTTGTGTTGGCCGACACTCGGAACCTGTACTTCCCAGAGTCAAAGACATTCTTTTTGAAATACACTCCAATATCCTGTTCCAGTCGAGTAGTGGCACTCCTGAGTTCTGGTTTAGGAGTTACTGACACAAGGTCTGAGACGTCGCTCTCATACCCATACCCTATCGAAAACAAAATACCGGGAATTGTTCCCAGGAAATTCTGTGAGATTACTAAACACACTAAAGAATCTCGACTGGTTTAACTAGAAGGTTGTTTCTTTGGGTTTTTAGCGGAAAAGAAACGATTCTGTCATTCTTGTTTTCCAAACTTGGCCCATTTGCCTTCATCGATCGCCCAACCACCACCTATACAGGCTACATTACAGTGGTTAAGAAAGACATCACAATTGTGTCTTCATCAGCTGAAAAACGACATCTCAATGTTGTTCACGCTCCTAGACTTTGTGGAGCGGCTGAGCCACTAAGCACTGGTGTCTTGAGTACTTTTGAACGATCAAAACCATCATACTTCTCATCACAAATCTCGTCAGCCAATATTGAGAGGATCACGCGTTCAAGAATTTAAAGGAATAAACGATAGTAAACTTACCGTCTTCGAGCACAAAGGAATAGTCCAACGAAACTTTGTTACCAAAAGCCTTAACTTTTCCGTGAACTTCTATTTTTTTTCCAGCATTCAACTTGTTTGACTTCTGAGGTCGAATAATCACATTTGGTGGGGAGCACTGCTTCACTCGAACCGAGACTTCGGCTACTGCTTTTCGGGCACCTTTACGATATGTCAACTTAAAAGTATACCTGTAAGTTTACAATGTTTAATAACAAATATCAGCGAAAATATACATTTTAATTACCATCTTAATGTCATTTTCCAGCAAATAAATGATGAATCTTAAGTTAATAGAGAGCGCGGCGTTTCGATTTGAGCGTCATAAAACCAAAACTAAGGTAATCAAAACAGCCAATCACAACAGAGAAAAAATCACACCGAGCCAATGGGAGCTTGAAGTAATATCAAGCTGCTTGAGGCGCTGGAAAACGCCAGTTAGTAAGTGACTTGTAAAATCTGAAATGGTAGGTAAGTTTCAACCAAAAACCACAACTCACGTTTTTCCAGATTGCAGAAATGATGACACACTCTTGTTAACAACATCAGTCTTGGGCAAAATAACACGGTCGTTGTTGTAGAAGCAGTCGCCTTCAGAATCTTTACATGTCCATTGATACCTAGCTTCATCGCTGGATCCATCTGGGTCTTCTGATTTTCTACCATCCAGCACTAAGAAATCTTCATAACCCACGTCGAAAGACACACCACCTGACGACATCATAAATGCATCATGAACACTCAAACATGCGGTGACGGTCGCCACAAAATAAGCGGAAACAGAAACAAACAGTAGAGAGGGACAACTTCGTAGGTGAGTCATTTCATTTTTTCAGTTCACTGTTCAAAGCAAATCGATGCTGTGCGTCTTTTTTACAAAAATATTTCATGTTGCTGTGCGTCTATTCAGTAGTAGATCAGAGTTGACATCTGTCATATCACCGTACTGACCCACGTGAACATGGAATCCACATGGAGGATTTTTTTCAGGGGAAATCGCATCTTTGTAAGGAAAACTAAGAGGGAATCAGCCGTCGCCAACAGAGTACGAAGGGGGGGGGGGGCGCTATATAAATTAACTGTCAATTATTTGCCAGTGAGAGAGAAGATCATAAGAATATTACAGAGCTCAACCAAATCCTCCACACACACACCCCCCCCGGGATAAAAATGGTCAGTCCCTTAAAAATTACATAACTATGGCTGAGAGCCGGGTTTGGCTCTCAGGCTTGAATAATAAGCTACATTTATCATACCAGCAATTCGCGCCTTCAATTCACTCGACGACACTTGAATGGGGAGAGACGATTCAGCGGTTATATCAATGTTCTCGTTATCGAATACATTTACTGTCAGAGTGTAATTCTACAAAAGAAACAGAAAACACGACAACTTTAGAAAACCACAAGTTCTGAAACTTTCCTGCCGCTAAGCAATTGAATAAAGCCACTGTTTCAACCTATTCTTTTAGATTTGTTTTGTTTTTGTTTTGTTTTTGTTTTGTTTTTGTGTTTCAACTACTTAACAATTTTTCTCGGCACAATGCTACGCCCTCCGTGCTTTTAAGTATTCTTTCTGCTTCTTCAGTGCTAATCTGATTAGATCATCCGGTTTCTGCTTAGGCAGAGAAGAGTAGTGTGGCCCATTGCTTAAGATGGTCTTCAACTCCAAAGAGCATGTCCCCGACTGAAGGAAGAGTTTGTGACAAGTTAAAGGATTAATCTTCTGTGTTTAGAAGCATACAGTTCACAATCACGATCAGATTGCTCTACAGGAAAGAAGAACCCTCTAAAAATTTGCCTCGCTCCCTGCGTGTGGCTTCGTAGCCCAGTTGCTAGTAGCGCCCAATTATAATCTGGGAATACCGTCGAAACTGGTATAGTCTTACACTTCAGCAAATATAATAGTTTTTCATGACACTTGAAGCATAGAATTGTTACCTCGCCACCTTTTAAGTTACTTCCTAGGAGCTTCAGATAAGGTTTGGTGGCATCTGTATCCGAACCAAGATCAGCAGCCTGATCACTTGAGTCCTTCAACTCCCAGGTGTACGCGAAGCCGCCAGCGTCGGAACCATTACACCCTGGCAAGCTAACTGAGGCTGGAGAGAAAAAAGATGCAATACACAAATTTAGGTGGTTTCACGTAACAAAGTTTGTTTGCTTGCTAGCTCGTTCACTTGCTTGTTTCCTTGCTTCAATATTCCCTTTCTAGCTCGGACAAGGGATTACTTAAAAATACAGGGAACAAAGAGTCTTATAGTTATTTAAAAGGTGGTGGTAACTAACAGGCTCCATAAAATATATATTATTAACTGTTCTCTTTACATATCCTGAGGTACTGACGAGGAGAATTTCTTTAACAATAAAGAGCTTCTTAAATTGAAGATCACTTCCTTAATTCTCAAGACTTTTGTGTTTTATTCAGCAGTGTCACTGTATGGAGAAATCATACCGTAGTCATACTTAGGATTTAAGGAGTTAAAGACATACCACGGATCAAACGTCTTTCCGATTTACTCATTGTTTCACCCAGTGAGTTCAACTTGACCTCTGGGACGGCTTCATTCTTGCGGGTTACCGAAAAAGTGTCTTCATCACTCTCTCCAAGGAAGTTCGTAACTTTGCAAACAATTTCATACTCAACGTTCTTGACAATGTTGTCCTTTGTAATGGTGAAGAAGCTTGTCGTGGATGCTAAGCCGGCGAGAGTTGAATTGAGAGAGGTCATATCAGATGTTGTATTGGCATCTGCACCGGCTTTGGATTTCACATACCATTCATATGTCATGGGTCGGCCGCCATCGCCCTTTGTATCCGTATCAATTTCTAGGCTAGCACAAGGTCCTAAGAGATAACAAGATACGTATTGGTGTTTTCAATTCGAGGAATTTTAGTTTCCTGACTGGTTCCTACCTTGGCTTTTGTAAAGGGAAGTCGTGTGTTAACCTTTCCATTCACAGATCTACAATATAAATGTTAACTCTACACACTCTTTGTTATGTATTCCCTACACTTTCAGGTCTGAGAAATTGGCGTTAAATTCAAACAACATCCCCTTCTTAAAATTTTCTAACTTCTCATCAACTTTCTTCTTGAAAATGTATCCCTACTGTAAGGAGAAATTCACTTTGGTCACTCCTGTAAGTGAAAGGTAAAGGAACAAAAACCTCATAATGGAATACAACAATTTATATGGAGAGGCAGTAACTGCACAACTCACCGATAAATTCTGCCCCTTGAATTTCGACTTCTGGTACGACTGGGTTTTGAGGTGATTGAACGGTGAGTTCCGTTGTACCTGCGACAAACTTAGTGTTGGCTTCTCCCAGCGAAGCTAGACTGCCATTTGTAAAGTTCACTGAGTCGCCTGGTTTTATCGTCGCTCCACCACCAACCAACAGAATCAGCATTGTTTTGGGTCTCACCAATTTACACTTACTGTCGCCAGCGAATAACGCTATCGTTCCTTGATCGAAAAAGTCAGAACATTGAGGATTGTCCGATTTAAGCTTTGCTTTCTTGTCTAAGGACAATAACAGTTTGGTGGGATTACTATCAAAAGCTAGTGATGCTGCGCTCGGCTGGGTGGCATAAAATGAAAACTCGACACTGGAATCAACTGCAGGGTCATTCTTTCCAAACTGCAAGGAGACGTTGAAAAGAGCAGACTTTTTAAAAGTGGTAATTGGACAATAAACTTCTGTGGAACTCACGAAAACTCCAGTCGCAAGCTTTGCGCCTCCCTCTCTAACGCAAGCCACATAGCCAGTGTCGACAAAATTGGTCCCAGTAATTGTCATGTTAATCGTGGCGCCAGAGTCGCTAATTTCAGTCTCGCTTGGGGAGATACTTGACAGAGAAATCACTGAACTGTTGTACACTGTAAACACAGCGGTCTCGCTTTCAATTTTAATGTTGCCACTGAAGCTGCACAGGACCGTGTAGACGCCTGTTGGCAAGGTCGACGGTGCTGTCACGGTCAGTGTATTTTTATTTGAAGTATGGTCGCTACGTGATGCAGCGTACCTGAAAATGATAAAAATAATAATTATGATAATTAGAATAATAATATTATTATTATTAATAGAACGTTGAAGCACTTTTTGATGGGTGCCAAAAACCATAATTGGAAAACGGGAAGCCAACGAGGACGCAAAGCAATCTTAAGAATATGTCCAAAATCGCGATTGGTTTTAAGTTGGAATATTATTGGTCGAGGAGGTGAAATGAGTTTTCTAGACCAATCACAGAACACAGTGAAGTAAAAGTTAAGGCAGATGAATTGAACGGGTTGTTTTCGACTCTCAGTAAGAGGTTGCTTCAAACAGTAATCGCATTCTTATCAAAAGGGTTTTCTAAATAGTCGAGTAAATGAGGGTGTCAAAACCGAAAATTGCTTCCCCCTGCATAATGTAAAAGTATGTTGATTGTGGACACCGATTATTTTGAAGTCTGAGTGATGCAAAACGCAAATTGTTGACATGACATCACATGCGCTAAAACTTTGACTATACGCTGTTGGATTTTTTCCTTTAAATCTAGCGGCCTTAATAACATTTGCTAAATTTTGAAATCCGAATGACCGACTTATCCATGTATATATTGTACTGACTTCTATCATTTGGTTCGCCAAGTTTTTGTAAAAAAAGGGCAAAATAAAACAAATTCCATATCAGCTTAAATAAAGTTTATGTAAAAAAAAAAAGTGTGACATAATGAGAACTTTAACTTCCAAAAAAGGAGTGTAAATCAAGAGTTAGTCTAACAACTCTGAAGAAAAAAGAGACAATCGAAGAGTTGCTCTTACTTTTGACTCGTAGTTGTATGATTGAATTCACAGCTGGTGAGAGACAAAGACTTAAAACCAGCCCCCTTAACTGTGATCTGAACCTGAGATCCTGCTCGTCCGCTAACCGGAGCCACGGAACCAAACTTTAGGCAGCCAGTGTTGAATGTAGAATCACTCTTACTCTTGCAATTTCCACATACATCGGTTTCAGCATCGCCGTTGGGTACACTGAGACAATCAACACAGCTCGAGTTGTCTCCTCCACAGACACTACAGGAATCTTGGCGGAAGTTGATTGCCAGGCCTGAAGCCCCCCCAGTACAGTTGCCGCATCTAGAATACAACAGAGGGCACACCCTTGAAATTCACACTGAATGCTTTGAAAGCTTTTTTTAGGGTTAGTTGGGGGCTTTGATTTAGCAAGAGTAGCAGTCGCAAGAGGGATAAATTTAATGTTAATATCCTTTTATTAAAATAGCAAGCCTGAACTAATATGGAGGTTTTTACGATCCTTTCAAAACGTTTGCTTGCTGTAAACCAAAGTTATACAATAACGAAAAAAGGCAACCTTGCAACACAGTGAAACAAAAGCACTTTGAGTCTTCCATACAAATCTATCTATCTATCTATCTATCTATCTATCTATCTATCTATCTATCTATCTATCTATCTATCTATCTATCTATCTATCTGTCTGTCCGTCCATCTGTCTGTCTGTCTGTCTGTCTGTCTTACTATCTGTCTTCCTGTCTGTCAAAAGGCATTTAAGGCTGTGATCTTCTGTTTCTATTCGATATCAGCCTCCAGCCCACCCTCCATGGAATCATAATTCATCTGAGCCTTAACCGTTCGACCTGTTCAGCTCCGGTGCCTTAACTTAGAAGTACAACACTTCCATCGACTTATCTCTGAGGGTCGTGGAGACACAAATCATTCATCCACAATAAGTTGGTGCTCCCTTGGAAAGGCTAAGTTACTTGATATAGCCAAGCTCAGTTAACTCAAAATGTGCTTATCCTTGACACTTACTCGTCGATGTCTGCTTTTCCAAAACATGATCCTGTACAATCTCTCAGGTTTTTGATGTCATCCTTAGACATACATTTGCCACAAGTATCATTATTCTGAATGCTTAAGTCGCACAGCCCTGCACAGTCAACCAGGTAATTTGCAGCCTTCTTGGTATTGCCTAAAACACATTCTCCGCATTCATCTGGGAATAAAATAAACCAAAATTAAGACAACTTGTAATTGATGTTAGTAACAAATTGCCTAAAAATTCTTGAACACAAGATTTACCGTTTGCGTTTTAAGCTAGGAATAAAACGAACTTAAATTAAGACACCGAACTTGTAATCAATTTTAGTAACAAATTGCCTAAAAATTCTTGAACACAAGATGTACCGGTTGCGTTTTAACCTCTTCGAGAGTTGGAAAGAGTTGCTGGTTTCCTCAGGCTAGTTACACACTACCAGTAATTCTTATGACCTTCTACATAGCCTTCGGTATAATTGTCAAAACATTGTTTTCTACCTTCTCGAACAAAAATCAAGAGAGCAATAACGTTCAATTTGTAGATGGAAAGTTATGTCCTGTAAGTATGCCGCAAGCTGCCTTGTCAAAATGACGCATAAGCCAGCAACTGTTACAATCAGTTCATGTATCTGAAACCAACCAGCGTCTGACAATACAATAATTATTAGTAAAACATACTTACTTATTGTAGCATTCGAATTAGGTACACCATCGCATGCAACGCACTCATCATCCCCTCTGCACACTCCGCATCGATCTTTCTTGGCAGCGAAGTCTGTCTTGTTATCACAACCTCGCCGTAGAAGTAAAAGGTTGACCAATTTCTTGCTAACAGATGTCTCCGATAAAATTGTTGTATTAAAAAGACCAGGTACATTTCCATCGGTCATGTCCCACGCTCTGACTTGTATCACTGCTCCTCCTTTCAACGCTTCTGAACTGCTCCAAATGGTTTGGTTGTCGTATAGTTCCATCTTAATCCTAAAATATCAAAGTCAAGTAAAACGGGAGTAAGCACAACACACAGAGAAATACCAAGTCACGCCATCTTCAGGTTAAGATTCAGATCACTATGTAATTGGTTATCTGCAAATTGAGTAATTTTAGTGTTTTGAAAGATCTCTACAGCGCCATATCCATTAGCTCATGGCGCTTTACAACACTATGCAGGAGACTTTGGCCAGACTGCATTGAGCAGTTCACAATTTTTGAAGGAGATGTTTGCACACGTCCCCATTTTCGGAATCAAGATCAGAAAACAAGACCGGTAGCTACATGTAATCAGCACGGAACGAGGCCTATCGTTTATCGCCCTTATCCGAGAAGAATAGAATGTTCAACCATTTGCGAATGTCATAAAAGGCAGCATAATCCTTAGTTATTTTAAGGCCTTGAGTGTTGGTCCGGTCTGAGGCTTAAACCCTCCACCTCCCGCACAGTAGTCCAGCGCTCTACAACTGAGATAACCAGGCGCCAGTGTTAGGGAACGACACTCAGCAGTGCATGAGACAGACAAAATGAGCGAAGACAGCTTGACACTAAACATAGCACTGTAAAAATACTTCACCCCTAAAGCCCTAGGAGACTACTGGTCGGCATTATCTTGACTTTTGCTTTGCCTGGATCTCATTGAACCACTTAAATTTAATTCCATGTTGGAGGTATTCATGTACCTGGCAGTTGGTGGTAGAAGAAACACCTCCCCTGCATCTTTGTCAAATGCAAAGTACTCAAAGGCCACCGAGCTATTCATTTGGTACAGCCAGCGTCCAAGAGAGCCATTTTTTGCAGACAGAATGACAGCTCCAAGTTCCATTGTTCTGTTGTCAATGTCTTCCGCAAGGGGGTCCGTTTTGGACTGGTCAAATATATCTTTGATAAAGGTGCCAGCATTCCATCCTGCAGACAGCTCGTACGGAAGCGGCTCCAGTTCTCCCCTGGTTTTCTTTAATACCGGTGGGTCATTCACTGATGTTACAGTTATGGTAATCACAGTCAAATTACCATAAAACAGAACTTCTCCATTTTGATCAACCTCGATGATCTTATCAGCTGAAATCTGGTAGAAGTAGAATAAAAAGCGCCAGTCTATTAAAATTCTAACAATAGAAATAATTTACAGGCAAATCCAAATTCTTACATCACTCACTCAATCAATTCGTAATTGGTTGTAACTGCTATAGGTGGCAATAAATTCTCAACAACATTGTAATTGTAAGATTCCATTGACCCTTTAACTCCCAGAAGTGATCAGACGTAACTTCTCCGTGTAATATCCATACAATATCAGGCAGACAGGCAATGAGAATACTCAACCTCGTCAGGTAGAAGTTATAATTTTGATGTAACACCGAATTCTCCTGACTAATTTACACAGAAATGTGTAGCAGCTAGAAGGGAGAATTGCCAATTGGAATCTTGGGAGTTAAAGGGGGTAACAGGACGTCAACAAAGGAAACTTACTGTGACTTATAAATCAAGTGATCATCGCATTCTGAGTGAACTTACGTGTGAAAAGGAGTCCCCATCTGGGCCCTTAGCTGTGAAAGCAAAACAACGTCAAGTGAGGATTTCACACCATTTTCCAAAGCAAATAGAATACCCCGTTTATTCTTAAACGGTGAATCCATAACTTAAAAAATGAGTAACGTTGTCCCCGGTGAATATCAGGATTTGGCTCCAAATAGCCAATGGAATCAAGAAAAACAGTTTTGATTAACCCAGAGAGACAAGCATCTAACTCCCCACACAGCATAAGCCCAGAACCAAACAATATGGTCACAAGAATAAAGGAAATGATCACTAACTAAAGAGGCTCTTGATTGTTAACAAATTCTCCTAGTCAGCAACTTAGAAAATGTATAGAGAACAGTATGGAGAATATGCATACTGATGTTAGGATGTAAAGGGTTAACTTACCTGAATTGATGATCTGGTTGACATGAGCAGAAACGGCTTGTTCAGCAGAGGAATTCAAAGTTATACCATTTAAATTCTTAATAGCTGTGAGGATGCTTTCAGAAGATGGCTTTGAATTGTCTTTAATGAGCTTGAAAAGTGCCTTCTTTCCCAAACCCTGTAAATCTCCCTGTCAAAAAGCAAACAAATGTGGATTTTTACACTACTAGCGCTAACAAAGTGGAAGAGTTTATTCCCTCTCTACTCCAGACAAATCATGCCTCACCCACCTTCAAATCAGTCGTCATATGCAAAGCTTCTGTAACTTTGTGGGAGAAAAAGCGAGAAAGAGCCAAAGAGGACTTCTTTGGAGAGGCCAGAAAGGGTTCCATGCTAATTTTTACATTACCATTAAAGTCTTTCTTGGGAGTAAATTTGATCTCAGTCATGTTGGAATGGTAGCTTTTGGTGTCTCCTCCTTTAAATTTTATATCTTCTACAGAATAGAATAATTGCAATAAAAAAATTAGGAGATAACTTACACACTTGTATTATCAAAGCATAAAACAATGGTAACATTGCAATATTATAAACTAATAAAAACAACCATAATAATATATATTAGTAAGGATAATGATAAAACCATCAACATTATCATTTCAAAAGGTTTATTTTTTTAAAAACTGTTTTTTTTTTTAAATATTGATAAAGATTGGATTTCAGGTCATTGATCTCACTTTAAAAGAATAATTGTCAATTATTGGTCATAGTTCATTTCAAAGCTTTACTTACCTGATGTGGTTTTAATTTTTAGCCCAAATTCCAAAGATGAAACATCCTCCAGTAACTCATTGTAAAGCTCAACCATTTTGCGGTTCACATCTCCAAGTAAGGCATCAGGAATGTTACTTTCAGTATCACCTTTTGGAGAGCTGTCATACAGGTGATCCCATATCTATTCCCAAATAAGAAATGAATGAATTAACACAGAAGGAAATATCAATTTATGAAATTATTACATCTCCAAATGATAAACAAGAACAAGGTGACTTGAGTCTTGCTGAAATTCTTTCCATTGTTTCAGTCCTACTCTAGCGGGACCATGCCCCTAATCACTTTCCACCCTAATATAATTATACACATTCTCCATATTCTTTAATAATATTATGTTTCCTTTGCCACTGGCAAGGAGAATTGGTTAACACTTCAAAGCTTCTGTTATTCCACTGATCTTAATGAATAATTCACCATTATTTACCCTTTAACTCCCAGATGTGATTAACATGTAATTTCTCCATATAATATTCAGACATTATCCAGCCGGCAGGTAATGAGAATACTCATACTTATCAGGGGGAAGTGGTTCTCTTGATCTTACATGAAATTCTTGTTATTAATTTACTTAATTTAACTTAACATAATTTCATTTAGTTTCCCTCTCTCTTTTTGTCAACGTGTGGTTTTAAAGCTTTTTACTTACATCAAAACCCTTTTCACCCTTGCTATCCTCATCTACAGTATAATGGGAGCCATTATACACCATTTGTGGGGGCACTACAGATGGTAATACAAAAATGGCAATAGTCTTTCCCTGTGTCCATTGCTTAGATGATGCATCCATATATTGACCAACTTTGGAAGAATCACTGTAAGCAGTAAAGTTGACCAGCACGATTCCATGAGATCCTTTTTTTGTTGGGACAAATCTAACAAAAGGAACACATATGAACCAATGAGTGAATGCATTGACAAAAAACTCATTTTAAGGAATGTCTGGCTATCTTTCTTAGTCTAGATTCTTCTCTTTCCCATGCATAGCCTTCTCAATTCAACAATATCCAAACTAGAGATTCAGTGGTATATCTAATCGTCCAAGTTGTCCTTCAAAGAACTGTTATCCAAAAGGCACTTTTCACTTGAGTATCATATAACCAAAACCAGAGTTATCTCAACGGCCAGTCAGAAAAAAGGAAAATACTTTTATGAGCCAAGTGCCTAGAGGGCAGGAAAAGCACAAGTGAGGGTAAGTTTTATTTGGTTTTTAAGTTTTGCATTTGATTGGTTGAAAGGGAGGTACATGTTTTCTGGACCAGTCACAGGTCAATGTAAAGCAAAAACAAAGCAATCCTGCTTCACTTTTGACATTCAATTGTAAATTGTTTTAGGAGTGACTGATGTTTTTACCACCTGAGCAGGAATCATCATAAAAGTCATTTGCAAAGGAATTCTCAGACAAGGGAATTTTTCTACTACATGCACAACAAGATATCTATTCCTTTTTCCTTAGTGCTCAATTTTCCATTTCACTCTCAAAGTTTCTTGCCACTATCTTCCCAAATTAAACTGTGCACATCAAGACTTAATTGGGAAAAAATTAAAAGATAAATGTTCAAGAGATTGATTAATCTCTTATTATTACCTCAGGTAACTTGTTTTACCCAACACCAGAGCATTAGATGGGGTGAGGGCTCTGACAGCAGTCCATTGGCTATTGCTATAAAACTCCAAGGATCCATTTACTCCATGTGTCTTTAGACTGCGAAGTGCTACAGCATTGTCACTTTGTTCAAAAATTCCTTTGCTCAAATCAGCACCAAGCTGAAGATATTCCCACACTGTTGGAAAGGTAAGATTGGCAATTGGAGGTAGACAATTTGATGGTTCAGCACAGTCCTGAGTGTACTGGCAATATTGTTGGCCTGTTAAAATAGAAAATAAATTCAGTGTTATTTTAAGCTACTAGAAGATGTTGTAGTCCCATGGCTAACAGGGTGTACCAGTCTCCTTTACCCTTTGGCTCCTAAGAGTGACCAACACCTAATCTCTCCTTACAATATCTGCATTTTCTAGCAGAAAATGGGAAAAGAGAAAAATATCAACCATAAAGTATTGTTTGGTATAAGGTCAAATTCTTGGAAAACAGTGAGAAAGGTATGGCAGACAGTGGCAAGAATTGATTTACACTGTAAATCTTGGAAGTGCAACAGGTTAAATGCTGAGCTACTTGGCCAACCTGTTGACTAACCACAATTTTATTTTCAGTTTTCAAGGCCTGATAGATGTAATTTTTGAAGCAAAATGTTTAAATGGATCATCAATATTGCTTAAATCTTTACCAGGTTCAACATAATTTTCATATTTAAACACATCCATGTGAGAAAAGACTGAAGTAATGTGAATATGTAATCCATTAGAACACAACTGATTGAACCCAACAAGATATCTCATAGGTTGGTAAGGGGGAATTAGGCCTGTAAAGCCTTTGGAAATCAAAGTAATAACTTCAAAACAGACTTTACCTATTGGACAACACATAGTTCCATTTGGCAAGCATGAGTCACTTTGATTACAAAATATTTCACCCACAGGGCAGCATTTCTGATCTTCAGGGATGCAGTGGTGATCATTGCAGACCTTCTTTCCCTCAGGACAGCTCCTGAAGAAAATAATCGAACACATAACCAAGGTGAGATAACCGAGGTAATACCAGTATTCAAATCTCCTTGCAGTTGCATACTTGCATTTGATCCATTAATGCACATAAAACATTTATCTACCTATTAAACTTTTCCAGTCAAAGGAATGAAAATCATTTTTCTCTATGAATACAGCAATCAAATGTCTGTGGTTTGTGCAAACATTGTAATGACCAGGGTGAGTACTTTCAAGCTGTCAAAACCAAGTTGATTCACTCAAGTTACAAACAACCACACAAGCCAGTAAGTCACAGTGTTTTCAAAGTGTACAACTGCCTTGGTAAAGCTCACAGCAGAATAGTAAATCAATAGAATAACTGAGAATAACTGTACTTGAATAAGCTCAAAAAGTCTTGAGTTTTCCTTTCCCTTACTTTTGTTTTCTTTAACAAATTTTTACAAAAGTTTCAATTCTCCTTTTCTCACATTGCGAGCAAATTTTTTTCAAGGAAATTTTCACCCAGGCAGACAGAAGTTATCCCTCTGTCCATTTGACCACTGTGTTGTTTTTACAACTCCACGTCATCACTTTCAAATTCATCTCCACTTATTTAGTTGTAGGATGTTCTGGTCATGATTTTAATATGCTGTATCAGTTTTTGTTTCTTTTCAATGTTTAGTACTCTTTGAAATATCTTGCACTATTATATACACATGATTTGCCTTATTGAATTGATAATTACTCACTAAATAGTTTATTTTAGCTCAATTCAGATCAGTGTCCTCACTAAACCACTGACTACTGGAGAACACTGATGCTTTTTGTTGTTGTCACTCTGTAAATTGTATTTAACTGCATTAAAAATCCATCTCATAAGACTGATTGACTGATACATGGAGACCCAATTTTTTCTTTGTCCCATGTTCATGACAAGATGAAAAACATCTTTCTCTGATACATTTGTCATTACTTACGAATTGCATTTTTTCTTGTCATGGTCACAATCCTCCAAAGCAACAGCAACCCTTGGACAAACCAGATTTCTGATTTGGCACATTCGAACCCAGCCTAAAGAGGAAAAGAAGGTATCAGACAATTCTGTATACTCCAATATTTTCAAAACAGTTCCCTAAATATTTAGTGCATTTTCCATGACGTCTAGCAAATCTAGACAGGTTCTTGCTCACGTAAATGGAAATGAAATGTCAGCTCCATAGAAGTTTGCATGTGTAAACTGGTCCCTATTATGCTTTTTTTTCTTCAATGTACTAGGAACAGAAACTTATTCTGCCCTATCTTTTGCATTCTTAGACCATCAACATTACTTCCTTTACAGAGACAGTAGTGTTGACCAACACATGAGCATGAAAACTGACTTGCCTCTCTCACCAACCCTTTAAACCCTTAGAATGACCAGCATTTGTAATTTCTCCTCATATTAATACTGCTGGATCATTTTTTTAAAGGATCATGCAGATATTTAGGAAATGATCATCAACTTAAGAAACTTTGATTGCTCATCAAATTCTCCCTGTCAGCACCCAAGGAATTGTATGGAGAAGAGTATCAAGAATATGGATACTGATGTTAGGTTGTCAAGGATAAAAGGTAAATTCTCAAGAGTTACTGGTTTCATGAAAAAGCCGCCTTGATAAAAGTTGAAAAGTACAGTGAATGAGAAAGTAAAGAGGTAATCACTTTCATCAAAAGATAATTAAATTTTGAGGCTCCGTTTTTGTTTCCCCAGTTATAATCTATGTATTTCCCAGTTCTTTTCTAAATTTGTTGATGAATGGTTGCCTAATGATTTTTCTCATTCCTGAATTAAATTGGAGTTTAAAACCTGACAACCAATGGGGTTCAAAATATATTATCATCCTTACCAAAAGAATCATTCTTGAGAGCTTCAGTGTAATTCAGTTCTCGGAAAGGAGCACAGTCGGTTTTATTCTTGCAGGATGCACTATAAGGACAGAACACTTCACCATGTCCACATTCATGTCCATGATGGTGATAATTCGCCGGAATACACTCCATAGTTGCGAAAGAGAATGTCTTGTTCTCCCCACAGGCCAAATCAGTTAGCCCCGTACTGGCATTAGAATTGATCCATTTATCCACATTCTCATAAGAACAGCTTTCATTAACATTGATACACTGCATGAACAATGGACAGAAATATTCTTCTGATGAACAATTAACACACCAAGCTGTGTTACTCAAGTTTTTCACTGCATCATTAGAGAGATAAACAGTGCATGGCTGATCTTCAGGAATACATTGAAGATTTAATCCACAGAATTTCTTACCATGGCCACACATGCTGTTGTTCTTAATAAAACTGAGCCAACTCTCCATGGATTCACTTAGGTTATAGCTTGACCACCATGGTGGACCAACTACTGCAGGACTGCTTGAGGGAAAATGGCTGAGTGAACTTGGATTGATTGAGGCAACCATGGTGCCAAAAGCTGAAGTCTGTACCGCAGACCATGACATGGTGGCATGGGAGGCATTGAGACTTGCGCCTGCGTTTTCAGAGGAAATTATACTCACTGCTTGAGAGCTAGCCAGACTCACTCCTTGAGAAGAAACCAGACTAGCAATCTGAGAGGAAAATATACTTGCTGCTTCAGAGGCAACCAGAGAGGAAATTACAGTTGCTACTTGAGAAGCACTCAGGCTAGCTATCTGAGAGGAAAATATACTCGCCGCTTCAGAAGAAGACAGACTTGCTGCTTGGGAGGCAACCAGAGAGGAAATTACAGTTGCTACTTGAGAAGCACTCAGGCTCTCTCCTTGAGAAGCATTCAGACTTGCTATTTGAGAGGAAATCGCAGAGACAACTTCAGAGACATTCATACTAGCAGCTACTATGGAACCATTCATAGAAGCTCCCATAGAAGCATGAATACTTCCAGAGTGAGAAGCAGTAGCATTATGCATGTGCACTGGAGCAGATGAGATATTCACACCACTTGGTCCCACAGTGACTGTGATTGAGTGAGTAAGCGAAGGATGTGCATGATGACTGGACATAGGAGCTTCACTACTAACAATGCGTTTTGGCAATTCATGTCCTAATTCAGAGCAGATACGAGGTAAGCGCTCACAGATCTTTCCAAATAGTTCAACAGTTTCACAGTGATTATTCACATGACGGCAACAGTCAAAACTGAAATAAAACAGAATTACTGGATTAGCAATTCCTGTGGAATCTACTGTCCATCTTAATCAAAAACGTAACCCTTTACACCCTAATATCAATATGCATATTCTCTATAATATTCTCTAAACATTTCATAAGGTGCTGACAAGGAGAATTTGTTTAACAATCAGGAGCTTCTTAAATTGGTGATTATCTCCTTTATTCTCGTGACCTCAATGTTTGATTCAGGGGTGATGTTGTAACAAGAAATTAGATGTTTATCATTTGGGGGGGGTGAAATGTTATTCTTTCGATTAATCAAACACTGACCAACACTTCATCCCCATTTACACTTAAACAAATATTTAAGTGCCATTTTACATCCTTGCCAAGCCAATTAATATCACAAAGGGGCACACAAATTCATGTTCATGATCCTATACCCAAAAGGCAAAAATTAGCTGGCCAGGTATCATAAGGGATTTGATGCAATTTATCTTTACTTTGCCAATAAATATTTCATCCTTGCTGCATGTACATCAACCTCAAAAGTAGAACACTTCATGCAAAACTGTAGTGTGCAATTTGAGTCTTGGCGACTTTGTCTTGATTTTATCAATATAACAATTCATTTTAAAGAAACAAAGGGTATTCTTCACCTTACACCGAGAAAGAATGAGGTATTCTTCAAGTAATAACATGAGCATAGTTAGCCAAGAGAAGACGAACTTTATACATTCTACAGAGGCGTTTGGTATTTAAGAATATTAGATAGTCTGAAGCTTTCAACTAAGTTTAAAAGTCACCACTAAAGGTAAACACAATTCACTTTCACAAGCACTTCACATACAGTTATTATATTCAAATGCCTACCCGAGCTTTACACACGTAAGTGATATTTGATCGTGAGTCTAACGTAAGTAAAAAGTATAAGTCACTTGATTTACAAGAACCAATCAACGTACCATGTTTCATTCACTCCTTGGCAGGAATCTGTTGCATCACAGTAAGTCTGTAAAGTAAAGGAAAAACATGACAGTTAGGAAATATATATATATACACATGTACATATTCTTCTTCATGAAGAGTATCAGGATTAGCCTCGCAAAAGAACCAATTTTTTCTCTCAAAGTTCTGGCAGTTTTCAAATATTCCATTCATTCTTATCAAAGTCTTCAAGGATTTCAGATATAGATACTACGATTAATTGATAAACCAAATAACATTTCCTTCCACGGAACACTTTGAACGAAAATAACACCATTTTTATTTGGGACATTCATCGCTAAGAGCCTGGGCCGCAGGCTCTCCTCGTCCCCAGAGTCCCCCATTTCTCCTTGGAGGCTCGGGAAACGAAGAAATATGCAGTAACATTTTCCTATTTATCGAACTTTCCGATAAGTACGCCCTGATTATTGCCTTTTAATAATGTTTTTTAGCAGATACAAAATATGATAAAATTTAATTTTCACATGCTAATCGTCGTAATGTCTTTACAACGAGTTGTTTTACCACGAGTTTCTATACTGGTTTTGTTGTTGACTTGCGAGGAACTTAAATCAGTCAAGCCGTTACACTTTCGAGCTGAACTCACAAACAAACAATTGTACTGTGTATAGTAGGCCTCGAGTAAGCTGTAAATTATCATGATGGATTGGTTTGGATTTGTGAAACAGCAAGCGGTGAAAGGTGGATTTTGTAAACGGTGAAATTTTTAAATGGTGGATCAGAGTGAAGGGAGAATTCTTGTAGATTGATAATTAAGACCAAGACAAATAAGGCATATATTTCTACATGGCATCGTGAGTGGGTTGTACTGTGAGCTCGTGATTGTACCGAATAGATGATGAATGAAATAAAAACCGATTGTTTTCGTAAATGTCATCTCCAATACTTCTGCCGGAACTGGGACAAGTTTTCTCTTTGCTTGAAATACTTCGGGCGTGGTGTAAATTTCGAAGGTTTTTTGCTAAAAAATCTGTCGGGTAATTCATTCCTTGTAGTTTTTAGAGCACAGCTGACCGTTGGCCGGGCTGATCATCTCATTGAAGAAGGATAAATAAATGAAAGATAAAGTTCCTGAAGAAACTGTGGCACTGTGTCCGTGTGGAGAATTGATGCCGCAAGATAATTTCAGGTTTTATCAACTGACGTTTCGAACATTTGTCCTTCGTCGAGTGAATCACTCTCAAAACGTCGGATTTAAATTTTTTTTTAGGGTGAACAAGTCACAAAATGAACTTAGGCGACAAAACCAAATTATCAGTGAAAAATAGTCTAGCGCACCGGATATTTCAGTGTGCGATAAATGTTATGTTTAATTACCACATTCAAGTGAATATTGACTTCGCCGCCTTTTTAACGACGACAAAAACTCACTGAAACCTTTCGTTACTTAATAATTATGCAGTGTTATGTAATATGCAAAACATTGTTTTGTAACATGCAAATTTAGCGTCTTCGGTTTGGCCTATTTCTAAAGCGAAAATATTGTTTTTTTTACACATATACAACACGTTGGAGACCTAAACCGGGCAGTGACAAAGACCTGAAATCACTTTGAATGCGTAGGAGTAACTGATAAGTTTCTGGGCGGTTCTAAGAACAAGCAGTCCACGTTCAGCAAATGAAATCACGAACTAAACAATCAATCACTTCGATGCCCGTCAAGGAAGCTGCTCTCTGATTGGCTAATACCTGTAACGTGCATGATGTCGAAATAGCATTCGTGAAATTTTGTACTTCTACGTCTGCCATAAACGGCGCTAGTTTCTAACTTTCTCGTTTCTATTTCTAAATCATAACTCGTAGTTATAAACTATCTAGCTCTTCCCGGTTTTGTAAGGACAGCTTGATATAAGACCTAGTGAGAAATAATGACGAAAGCAATCGATTTTAATTTTTAACTAAGCCGTCCCTGCAGCTGCGTTGCCGAGACATCAACTAATTTCAATGTTATTTTTACGGAATCCAAACACTGTTTTCATAGTGAACAAAATTAGGATAACTTCAGCTAGTGGATAATTTTGTAGCAAAATAAAACTTAAATTAATCTTACGGTAAAGTTGAAGCATTATTGTATTTGTACGCTGTTTTCATGACGCTTTGAATCGAAAACCAAAGTGAAATGATTATCCGCTTTCCAAAACTGTCTGGTTTCGTAGATTTACTTTGAAAATATGTTCTTCTAAATATTTCAAGGATTCGCAAATTTAGCAAGCTGGATTCCACGGTAAATAAAGACTAAGTTTTATTAAGTGACAACTTCGAAGATAAATCTGCATGACTATTCACGGGCGAAATTTTTAATCAACATGCATGCACTTGTTTTCCGAACATCGAGTGGTAATGTTGACTTCATATTCCTTACTAGAAAAATTTCTTCCTTTTCTTTTTAGTACTTACCTACACTTTATTCAACTGTTTTTTCCATCTGTTAAATACATTGGCAAACAAATGTTTACTTCAAATAATCGCGATCTGTGTCGCGAAGCGTGCAGCAAATAAAATACAATGGAACCAGAAAAGGAATCAAAATTATGCAAGACGCCGCATTAGTTTTGCTCAAGATTGAAGTCGTACTTGTCTGAAATCAGACCTAACCGGGCCAGGCAGCAAATAAGGTGGTCATCGCCTTTTTGAGAGCTATATGTGGCTGCTTAGCGGGCAAGTAAATCTAGCAGGTTGATATCCGCTATAAATCAGTAAAGGCAGATAGACCGATTCCGCCGAGAATAAAAAAATAACTGTTGAGTGTGCCGACCATCGTCGGAGCAATTGAAAAAAAGCGTATGTTGCCATTATTTTAAATATGTCGAGATTGAAGGATTTGACTCATCTCCGATCTAGAGTTACTAGTAGACTGTTAGACGACTAAGTTACACCAAATGCCGAAGAACAACCATGAATCGTTCACACCAAACCGAAGTACAAGTAATGTGGCGGTTGATTTTGGTTTTTTCATGAGACTAAGAGATCATTCTTCTTAGCATCCTGTACTTTTAAGTGCACCTGCTAAGGTTTCACTCTCAATGTGACTAAGCTGAAGATGATTTCATCACCAGATCTCGGACCATTTCGAAGCAGACTTATTAGAAAAGTAAACGTTGAAAGTACTTTCAGTAAAGATACAGTTTTTTTGTTAACACTTGCCTCGTTCGCTGCGGGACAGGGATTGTGGATTCCACTGACGCAAGTCGCCAAGCTTGTCACGATTCCCAACACTAAAAGCAAGTCGGATTTTTGTTACTGGAAAATGTGAGGTAAATTGATCAAAAGGGAGGTAACGGCTATACAAAATTGTATTTACCCATATATTTCCAAAATCCCTCCATTTTTCATGAGCGGATTTGTCCTTTAACTTGCACGCACTTTGAAACGCGCTTTAAATTGGCACTTCTTGTTGCCTGGAACGATGTCGTCTCAATAAATCCAAAGGAAAATTTTGAGCTAGCGATCAGTCTTTCATGTGTGAAATACGTCAACAGTGGAAACAAAAGGTCAATGATGTCTTGTGTTTTGGCCACCAATCGATGTTCTTTGTCTCTTTCTAGGACAACACCTCACGACCCACTGCTTTGCAGTTGCCATGAACACAAACCCGTTGGGAAAATAACAAACCTGGTTGTCAAGAATCTTTTATCTTGAGTAATCAAGGTGTTTACAGTGGAACAAACCCATAATCACTGGTTGAACTACAAGTATAAGAAAGATCTGAGACGATGCTATCTTTGATGACATTTTTTTGGTTGATTTATCGTTTTTGTCCACGATTACCATATTCTCTCACATGTCGGCTTCGTTTTAATTCTGAAACCCCCTTTCGTTTCTTCGCCTTTTGCTTTATTGTTTTCAGACGATAACGAATGCGAAAAATGTAGTTGAGACAATA